AGAAACACACACACACACACACACACACAGACACACACACAGACACACACACAGAAACACACACACACACACACACACACAGAAACACACACACACACACACACAGACACACACACAGACACACACACAGAAACACACACACACACACACACACACACACACACAAACACACACACACACACACACACACAGAAACACACACACACACACACACACACACTCACTCGTTACTCTGTTGATGTTAATAATTAAATGTTAATTGTGATTGTGTGTGTGTTTCTGTGTGTGTGTGTGTATGTGTGTGTGTTTGTGCGTGTGTGTGTGTGTATGTGTGTGTGTTTGTGCGTGTGTGTGTGTGTGTTTGTGCGTGTCTGTGTTTCTGTGTGTGTGTGTGTGTGTGTGTGTGTGTGTGTGTGTGTGTGTGTGTGTGTGTGTGTGTGTGTGTGTGTGTGTGTGTGTGTGTGTGTGTGTGTACTCACTTTGTCCTGTGTGTTGACTTCGGCTCCGCAGTGAATCAGATGTTCGACACAGTCTTGATGTCCGGTCCTCACAGAGACATGAAGAGGAGTGCTGTCCAGCTAAACACACACACAGGTAAACACACACACAGGTAAACACACACACAGGTAAACAAACACACAGGTAAACAAACACACAGGTAAACACACACACAGGTAAACAAACACACAGGTAAACAAACACACAGCTAAACACACACACAGGTAAACACACACACAGGTAAATAAACACACAGGTAAACAAACACACAGGTAAACACACACACAGGTAAACACACACACAGGTAAACACACACACAGGTAAACAAACACACAGGTAAACAAACACACAGGTAAACACACACACAGGTAAACACACACAGGTAAACAAACACACAGGTAAACAAACACACAGGTAAACACACACACAGGTAAACACACACACAGGTAAACAAACACACAGGTAAACACACACACAGGTAAACAAACACACAGGTAAACACACACACAGGTAAACACACACACAGGTAAACAAACACACAGGTAAACAAACACACAGGTAAACACACACACAGGTAAACACACACACAGGTAAACACACACACAGGTAAACACACACACAGGTAAACAAACACACAGGTAAACACACACACAGGTAAACACACACACAGGTAAACACACACACAGGTAAACAAACACACAGGTAAACACACACACAGGTAAACACACACACAGGTAAACACACACAGGTAAACAAACACACAGGTAAACAAACACACAGGTAAACACACACACAGGTAAACAAACACACAGGTAAACAAACACACAGGTAAACACACACAGGTAAACACACACACAGGTAAACAACACACAGGTAAACACACACACAGGTAAACAAACACACAGGTAAACAAACACACAGGTAAACACACACACAGGTAAACAAACACACAGGTAAACACACACACAGGTAAACAAACACACAGGTAAACACACACACAGGTAAACAAACACACAGGTAAACACACACACAGGTAAACACACACACAGGTATTCTGTCACCTTGTCCTTCGCTGTGATGTCCGCTCCGTGGTTCAGCAGCAGTTTGAGCGCGCTCACGTTTCCTCCTCGACAGACGCAGTGAAGACACGTGGACCTGAGCTGCACACAACCACAACTGGATCACAATCTGCAGCGTTATTATAACATTCAAATATTATGGGATGGTAGTGATTGGTTCAGAAATCAGTCAGATCCTCTGCGGTTTCCATGGAAACAGTTGCAGTTTTTAAACACTGTGCATTTTATTAAACACCTCGTGAAAATATAAATGTGATTAGTGATAATAAATCAGGTTTATTTTGGTAAAACAGTAACATAACTTTATCTACCTTGTCTCTCAGGTGGACGTTCACTCCGGCTTCAATCAGCTTAGTGATGACCTCTGTGTGACCTTTAGAGGACGCTCTGTGCAGGCCTGTATGTTCAAACTGAACACACACACACACACACACACATAATCAATGCCCTGTGTTCACAAACTGTCCTGATGACTTCACATAAAGTTTTATTTAAAATTCTTTAAAAAAAAAAAAGAAGGTATTTTCATCAGAGCCAACAGAATCAGAGAGTGTTGATGACTCACCGAGTCCCGGGCGTTGACGTCTCCGCCTGTCTCCAGGTACCTGTCAATCAACAGCAGCTGATTCTGATCGCAGGCTTTAAAGAAATCCTCCTCGTCCACATAATACGGCTGAAGAACAGTGATCACATGACCCGTTAAACTCAAACTGCTCCGTGATATCAAGATTAGAGTTTCACTTGAACATTCATTTTTGACAAACTGTCCAAAGTTCAGCCTCTTTTAGAAAAGTTAAATGTTGATGAACCTGTCCCCTTCTTTTTCCTCAGGGGAAAAGCTGTAAACAACAGCCAGTGATAGTGTGATACCTGTACAGGTGAGTGTAGTTTTGTCTTACCACCACCGGGGCAGCAGGGGGCGCTGCAGATTTCCTCACAGCTGCTTTCTGCTCTTTCTTAGTTTTCCTCAGAAGAAGAAGATTTTGAAGGTCAGCAGGAGTCTCGAGCAGAAGACGACCGGATTTATCCGTCTGAGGAGAGTTAAGACAGGTGCACACACGGACAGATTAGCGTCATTATCTAAAGTTAATAATGACACTCAAACCTAAAACTTAACGAGGACGGGGCTGAATGCTAGTCTAGTCCTAACCCTAAAACAGTTTACAGTCTAAGCCTAACCAAGCAGCAACCTCCGGTGTTGAAAATGAAGTTGATGCTGAAGTGCAAAATCCTGCAGTTCCTGGAGTGTCCACTAGAGGCTGGCTGCAGAAGCACAGGAAGTCACATACACACCCATTCTAAAAAGCCTGTTTTTACAGCAGAGATGAACATGTTTACAGCCTGGTTCAAAAAACCAAATAGGTGTGATTAGCTCATGTCTGGATGGACACACACTGTACGGGGGGTGAATGTTTTGATGACTCATCAGTTTTGATTTGATGAAGGATAAGAGTTATTCACAATAAGGCGTGTAGCTGACCTGATTGACAGGTGGGCGCGGTGTAACGGTTTGTCAGGAGGTTTAAAACCCGCCTCAGCTCTCAGCCTGTCGTTAGGTTGACTGAAAGTTAGACTGAGACAGCATTTCTAAATCTAACCAGGATCTGGTTTAACTGAAGACTTGGTTCAGATATTTAAAAAAAATCAGTACTTTAACCAGCCAATCACAGAGAGGAGTTCTGCTCTGACCTTTACGCTGACTGGACGAGCAGAGTCTTTTTTCTCCTGAGTGACAGACGACTCATAGTCCGCCACCTGATGGACACACAGAGATCAAACAGTTAAAGAAAAAACACATTTATTTATGAACATGATGAAAAAAGATCTTTAAACATTAAAACATTTTAGATTATTGAACCTCATGATCGTTCAACGTGCGAGCCGGGTCGGGTTCTTATCACATTTAAGAGTTACAGAGATCTCAGATTGTTAATGAAGTTGTTGTTTCTGGGACTTTTAATCATAAAACTTTATTTAAAGTCCTCCAGCTGACACTCTGCTGAGTGACCTTTGACCTCTGCCTTGTAAAACATTACTAGCAGCTTAAAGAGGAACAGACGCCTCGGTTACGAGTTTGTGTTGGTGTGTGTGTGTGGTGTGTGTGTGAGAGTGAGAGGGAGAGAGGGATTCGTACATGACCTTCTCTGGTGACATTTTATTGGTCAATCCCTATAATGGGAGGGGTCAGCGCTCAGAGGGTTATGTGATCTGATGCAGAAGAAGCGGCAGAGTCCGTTATACAACGCTGTCACGAGAATATCTGTCTTTATATCAATGCTATGTGTCGCTATGGCAACCGGCGCACCAAAGTAAAAGGTGTGATGTGCACACACACACACACACACACACACACACACACACACACAATCCATCAGTCACAGCACACATGCACACAAACCTAGACATCTACACACACACAGTTAAAGGTGTATGTAAATACTTCATCAGTCTTTATTTTCTGTTGAATTTAAAATGTTTCAAAATAAAACCTTAAACAGAAAAAGGCAGAATTTTTAACATTTTCAAATTAAGAAAAATAAAATAAAAAACCTTATTTTTCTCACCATCTCGTCGTCGTCACAGCTGAGCGACCTGAAGATGCAAAAAAAAAAAAAAAACATTTAGTGTTTCTGTATGAAATCCTGAAGAGGCTGCGAGAGTCTGAATGTGACATCAAAAAAGTCGGAGTTTCACCGCTCAGTGATCCGTTCAGAGTCATAGCTTTAGATCGAGTAAGATAAAATACATTTAAAATATATTCTATTTGAATTTGGACCTGAACTCCTATAATTCCATTATTTCACATTTAAAAATAGAAATTGCTAGGCTTTTATTTTGAATATTTGTACTGCCCTAAGCTGAGAGTACTGCACTTGCTGTGTGCTTTTATTTTGAAATAAAGTAAGGCCTTTCTGGTAGAGTGAAGGTTAGGACATGAAGTTCAGCACAGAAACAGGAAGTGGTTAGGGATCCCAAACTGAGGTCAAACAGGAACGATAACAAAGGTCAATGTGTGATGTCATAAGGTCAATGTGTGATGTCATAAGGTGGATATTTCTTTGGACTGGTCAGCTGAGCTGTCTGAGAGTTTGTTAAAGTGAAATGAGACATTCAAAGATGCAGCAGTGTCCTTCTTTCACATCAGTGAGACTACAGGGAGACACTGAGGACCACTATCTACGGAGAGCCTGAAGGGACAAAATAGCATGAGATTACTGTGAGGGGGGTTCAGGGTCCTCACGGCTCGGGGGATAAATGATTGCTCAGTCTGACAGACTGTGTGCTGAATCTCCTTCCTGTACTCTCTGTACTCTATGGACTGTGAGTCAATCCGTTACACAAACACATCGGGGGGGGGGGGGGGGGGGGATCGCTCAGGGTGCTTACAGAGAGGAGGCTGACAGACTGGTGTCAACAAGACAAGCTGCCACATGACACCAAAAACAAGGTGCAGGATGACCACCCACCCCTAAACAGAGACACAGTGGAGAGAGTTTCCAGTTTGAGGTTTCTGTGCAAATATCTGACAATCACACATGGACCATCAAAACCAGCGGCTCAACATCCTGAAAAAATTCAGGAAGGTCAACCTGTCGCAGCAACTTCCTTTCTGCTCCATTCAGAGCATACTGACACACAGGAGCCAGGTTTGGTAAAACATGGAGAAAAAAAACTGAAGACCACAAAACATGGAATGATCCGGGTCCAGACACTCACGAGGGTTCAAAAAAATATAAAAAGGCCATTCATTCGTCCGGCTAGAAATATTTAAAATTCACCAACACATCTCGGCTTGAGTCTTCTTCAGGGTGGAGCGACACACTGAGACAAAGATCGTTTAATTCGATTAAAGGACGTTTTTTTCTAAGAGACATGTGTGGGAGATTTATATTTTAAATCTCAAAGGGCAAAAAAATAAAAAAGTTTTGGTTTCATGACACAAAAATGTCTCCAGTTTCAGCTCGAAATTGAATTTAAAAAATGTTCAGGTGAAACAAACTTTAAAGGTTTAAAAGAAGAAATTCATCAAGTTATTTTTGGTAATAATATATATTTAAATTCTTTCACATCAGAAATCAGCAGACACAGTCGTCCCGTCTCCGAGTGTTGCCCTGCGTTCACGCTGTCAGCTCGTTAATCGGTTCATAATGACTCGACATGAGGCGTGTTCAGGCTGATATTATTACAGATAATTATTCTCACAGAGACACAAACAAACCCAGAAGAGAATCCAGCAGGAATAACCAATAACCAATAATCAGTAATCAACAAGCTCACCTCTGCAGCTCCATGTCAGCGCTCACACCACTGGCAGCAGCAGAAGAAGATTAAAGATGAGCTTCCTGTTTGGACATCAGGAGCTTCATCTGCCTCCTAATATAGACACACACACACTCACACACACACACATATACACGTGTCTCTGTCGACCGTTGACCTTGCAGGTTGAACTTGCAGGAGTCGGCTGCTGACCCCGTCTGACCTCCCAGTAACCAGAGAAGAAGAAGAAGAAGAAGAAGAGCTTCAGTTTTATTGGTGGCAGAAATAAGATCACAAACCTGATGCAGCGGGTGAATGTTTTTCAAGAAATGTTCCAGCGAGATTATTTTGAAAAGTAAAAACACGGACGATGAAGAGGTCGTTAAATCGGGATGGCGCTTTGAGAAAACTTTAAATTTGATCTACCTGACGTCGAGGAGGTGAAAGATACTTTTCAGAGGAGTTACCAGAGACTGTAAATATTAACAGATGAAGCCTGAGTGTCGTCCCCCGTCTGTTCCTGCAGGGGGCGCTGGAGTCCCATCGATGGCTGCCTCCATGCTGGAAATGCTGTCTCAGTCTAACTTTGAGTCAACCTAACGACAGGCTGAGAGCTGGAGCTGAGGCGCACTTCCTGTTCCTCTGTAGAGTCAAACCAACACAGAATCACTCACACACACACTGAGATACATACCACAGATTTTTATTCAAAAAGGTGAAAATCAGATTCAGAAATTGCACTTTAAAGGTCTCCCGTTTCCCCTCTTGCACTTTGAAATAAAACAACTTCAGATGACCGGATCCCTTCATCTAATTCGATATTAAACAAACAAAAAAAACAACCTTTTAGTAACATACACACACATCCCTGATTTGTAGCTTGTTTTTGGTTTTGTTTCTCGTTGAGGGTTCGATCCCCAGCTCCTGCAGCCACATGTCCGATGTGACCTTGTGTAAGACACTTAACCCCAAGTTGCTCCCACTGCTTCACCATCAGTGTGTGAATGTGTAGGTGTGACCTCCGGTGTAAAAGCGCTTTGAGAAGTCAGAAGACTAGAACATAACTAAACAAGTCCATTTACAAAACACAATTTACAAAACACTAGATTGCATCAAAGAGAACCACCTTGGAGTCACATCTTTGAGTCAGTAGTTCAAGCTAAAAGCAAAAAGCATCGACACCCTGTAGAATCTGCTTCCATCATTTCAGCTCCTCGAGCTTCAAGTCGTTCTGCAACAGACTCCTTGATGAGGGTGCAGAATACCCAAAAGCCCCTTTTCCCAGTTTCTGTCCGAGCGTTTGGGACAGAAAGCATAAAGAGTTTCTGAGAACGCAGGATTACTGTCCAGTACTTTCCTTCATGATGAAATGCCATCCAACCCGAGAGTACAACTCACAATGCTGAGTCAGCGCTTACGGTTTGTTTTGAAACCTCGAGGACGCTTGGTAGGATGCATCAACCATATGGAGACACTGAGCAGAGGCGTGCATGTACAAAGAAAAGATCACCAGAGTCTAAGACAGGGAAAACTTAAAATTTAAGGAAAAGAACGACTTGTTTCTAAAGTAAAAACACTCTCAGTTTTTTCCCTAGGACCAACACACGTGGTGTGACAGCAAAGGGACTCGTCAATCAGAGTTTACAACCTTAATATCCTTACCATCACCAGTAAAAACCACAGGTGCATTGTGTGATCTGGTCTTTGTAAAATGTAAACTTTTTTTCTACTCTCTACAGACGTCATCTCCGGTCGGCGTGCGTCTCACTCGCGCATGTAGAGTCTCATGAGCCCCGCCTGATGCAGCTGCTGCCAGAGGACCAGCTCCATCTTCAGGTCGTGGTTGGTGGTGAAGCCTACCGGGCGGAGGCCTTTGTCGTAGTAGTACCTGGAGAACTTCTCGTAGCCCGGAGTCATAAAGCCGTACGCACTCACCTTCAGTCACACAGGAGACACCAAAGACAGAGTCAGACGGGACAGACGGGAAAAATGAAATAATAAATAAATAAATAAATAAATACATAACTTAATACATTTATAAATAATAAATTAATAAATGAATGAATAAATACATAAATAAATAAATAAATAAATACATACATACATACATACATACATACATACATACATAAATAAAAGTTGATCAATTAGAACAATGACTTCCAACAGGGAGAATAGCGTCTCTCGTGTCCACAGAGCGCCCCGTTCGCCTGTTTTCAGCACTATGTAACTGACTTCATCAATGTCATGATGATGTCATCGACGCTCTGTTCAGGTTAACGCTTCTGCTCTCTCTGTCTTAGGCTTTCCTTGAATGCACGAGACGTACACAGTAAGAAGGTAAATAAGTAACCAGCTGACAGAAATTAGAAGAAATATAGAACTCCACCTCGTCACAGGTGTGCAGTGCAGCCAGCAGCATCACAGCTCCAGTCGACGGACGGTAATTTCTCGCATTTCTAGCGGTCAGATATTTAGAATGGAGGAATCTGAAATGACAAATCACACAACATATCAGAAATAAACTGCATGCCCCCTCCCCCTCCCCCGCTCTGCAGATCATTCCCTCACCTGTTCCGGAGGTAACGCATGAAATCAGGATGAAGCATCTTCAACTTCTTAGCTGACACGTCCTTTCCAAACATTTTGGTTGGACTGTGAAGAAAAATATCAATAAATGTTTGTGGTGCATACTGAGGTTAGACACATGACTCTTTTACACAATATAAATATAAAACATCAGGCCAGAAGGCTTCATTCACCAAGTTTTTTCTAACTCTAATATGTGTCCCCAAGTAACATGACTCAAAATAAGACACAAAGTCAGTGAAGTATCCGTCATGTTCTCTGTGTTGTTCTCTGATGTATGAACATCCTTTTAACCGTGCTGAGGCCCGGTTAGTCCTGGAGCAGTGTGAGTGCAGGCCAGCGGGGCAATGGGGGGGGGGCAATCCTGCTTAAGCATGGTACAGGACAAGTTTGCCTAGTGTGAGTGCACCCTAAATAAATCAGTTTTATTCAGACTGTAAGTGGACTCTACACTGCAGCTGTGTTTAATCCGTTAGCCCCCAGCAGTAATGATTTCCTGAGCTTTTTCAACAACAAAATTCTAGACATCAGAGACAAAATTGGTAACCTCCTGCCCTTACCTGGTGCAGATACGTCTGATACGGCAGAGACAGTTCCAGGACCAGATATTAGTCTAGACTGTTTTTCTCCAATCGACCTTTCAGAGCTAAATTCAATTATTTCTGCGTCGAAACCGTCAACCTGTCTTTTAGACTCAGTCAGGATTTAGAGTCCACCATAGCACTGAGACTGCACTAGTTAAAGTTACAAACGATCTACTTCTAGCTTCAGACAGGGGACTTCTCTCTGTTCTCGTCTTGTTAGATCTTAGTGCTGCTTTTGACACCATTGACTATCAGATCCTATTATACAGACTAGAACATTTACTTGGAATTACAGGGACTGCTTTAAGTTGGTTTGAATCCTACTTATCAGACCGATCTCAGTTTGTACATGTTAATGATAAGTCCTCTATGCACACCAAAGTTAGCCATGGAGTGCCACAAGGTTCAGTGCTTGGACCAATTCTCTTTACATTATATATGCTTCCTCTGGGAAATATTATGAGGAAACACTCCATACAGTTTCATTGTTATGCAGATGATACTCAGCTTTATGTATCAATGAAGCCTGATGGCACCAGTCAGTTATGTCAGCTAGAAACGTGCCTTAAGGACGTTAGGACCTGGATGACCAGAAATCTTTTGTTTCTTAACTCAGACAAGACTGAAGTTATTGTGCTAGGCCCTAAGAACCTCAGAGAGACTTTTTCTAGTGATTTGACTGTCCTTAGTGACATCAGCCTGGCATCTAGCACCACTGTCAGGAATCTAGGAGTTCTATTTGATCAAGATATGTCTTTTAGCTCTCACATCAGGCAAATTTCAAGAACAGCCTATTTTCACCTTCGTAATATATCTAAGATCAGGAATATCCTGTCGCAATATGATGCAGAAAAACTAGTTCATGCATTTGTTACCTCCAGGTTGGATTATTGTAACTCTCTTTTGTCAGGGTGCTCTGGTAAGTCTCTAAAGACTCTTCAACTAGTCCAGAACGCTGCAGCTCGTGTACTGACTTGAACTAGGAAGTTCAAGTCAGGTGTAGACCAGCTCCTAGTTATGCTGCTATAGGCTTAGACTACCGGGGGAACTGGCACCTTGAGCTCCTCTCTCTCTCTCTCTCTCTCTCTCTCTCTCTCTCTCTCTCTCTCTCTCTCTCTGTGCATATACAGTACATCATATTACTGCATGTATGTATCTGTAAATCTCAGTCACTAACCACCTACTTTCCTGGGAGCTCTTGAGCTCTCTTAGGCTCCTCGAGATCGTTGGTTGACGGCCTGCCAGAACAACCCCCCCCAGATTGTTGATGGACGGCTTGCCTGAAATTGATTGATTGATTGAATCATCAGCTGGGTGGTTGTTTACTTCCTCATGCCAAGACCGTAAACCAGCTTAGTCAGGACTGAGAGTCAGACTACATATCGGGTTCTAAAGAAGTATGCAGTAATCAGTTTCTAACACAGCTTCTGTTTCTAACAGTTTCTAACACAGCCCTACTTCCTGGGAGTCTGTCCAGAGCGTGTGAAAATTCAGTTTGAACATGAGGAAGATGTAGAGAAGAAGAAATATAAAAGAACATTGTGTTACTCTTTTCCCCGGTCTCTCCCTCTCTCCACTCGGGTGTGTGTCACCGCGGCCTTCACCATCAGGTAATCACGTTCATGAGATGGCAGCATCACATATCGTGTTTCCTGCGGGGAGCAGAGGGGCGTCATGTAGATGATTCGAGGTCATTACTCGAGCATTTTATGCAGGAAGAAATGTAACTCACCTTAGACAAAGGGGGTCCTTTAAAGCCAAGACCTTTGTACCTTTTATACGAGTTACTCAGTGTGGTGGTGGTGAATGTGTAGTGGGTGGTCCGAGACCCCACGTCCTGCTCAAAGCCCTTAATGATTGCCCCGTTTGTCCTAAAAAAACAAGAATCCAAAAACATGGATGACAACATAAATGATCTCAAAGCCCTAAAACAATTGAAAATCTTTCACGGCATAAAGGTCATCTTGTAAGAAAATAAAAACTCTGGTCACGTGGTCAGACACAGCTCATTTACATATTTAAAGGTACAGACACAGAAACAGCCTGTTCTGAGCAGGGCTGAAATAGAGGGGTTTATAGACATGATCAAATACAGGATCAGAGTGGATTTAGAACAAGAAACTTCACACACATGTTTTGAGGAGCTCTGAGACTTATTTACACTGGTTGAAGACCAGATGTGACCTTTAAAGAAACACCAAGAGAATTTACAGACGGGCTAATGCTTGGCGTTGAAGGCTCCACTCTGGGCAGCATGCCACAGCTTTCCAGAGAGCGCAGAGCTAAACCCCAACCCAAGGGTGACGCAAAGTTTTGAGGCAGAAGGGAGGTGACCGGGGTGGTGGAGGCAAAGCTTTGCTAGCAGCAGCAGCGGTGTGAGCAGTATTAGTGTAGCAGAGATCAGTGAGACGGAAGATGTGTTTAAATCGACCGCCTTGACCTGCAATTGGTGTGGGTGTGGGCAGCTGGGGCGCAGGACTTCCTAGTCCTGCATGAACAAATGCAGAGCTAAGCTAGTCCAGAGTCGGTTTGTACCTGAAGACATAGTGGTGACTGTCGATCTCCTCCCCTTTCTTTGAGTTATTCAGGATCCCCCCGTTCCCCACCACAGCACAGCGGACACACTCGGAGTTCTTACTGTGGTCCTTCCAGTCGTCAAACATCTGCAAGTTAGCGGAAGAGTTGAGGAGGGAAAGAGTTTCCACCAGCACTGTAGAAACAGAAAAAAACACAGATAGAATGTCGGTTAGAGTATTTGAACACAGTCCTGAACGTTTTTTTTACACATTTTTTGTGGGCCATGTTTGTGCATCCGCCCACAGATTTGGTTATTTTTGACGAAAAAAACCCGCTCAATGTGAAGGGGCATGCTCATAGTGAAGTAATAAATGTAATATTGTAGCGAAAGGCTTTATATGCGATTTTTCAGACTTAAATGTAATCACTGTCCCACTGTCTGTGATGCTTTCAGAGTCCTATCTTCAGTTTGTTTACATCGCCGGGACGGCCGGCTGACTCCTCCCCTCGTGTATAAAGTTGTTTAATTGAGGGACTAGAGAAAAGAAGAATAACATACTGTACTCACTGCTTAACTGTGTTTCTAGATCACGCTCATTTCAGGTAAATGTACATGCAGTGTGAAGATACCAGCATAATAAAGATCACTAGCATTAGCATGCTAACACAACAATGCAGCGAGAGTTGTTTTGGTTTCATGCTGGTGCTCAAGGGCGACATCTGCTGGATCATAAAATCACATATAAAGACTTTAAACTTACTTGTGTAATTGATCCCGCTCCAGCCGTGGACTGGTGTGTACTTCTTTAGCCGTTGATACTGCTCAGGAGTCGCATGTTTAGCCAGCATCAGGATCGGGATGTTGTTCAGATACCGCTCCCCAAATTCAGATTTCTTGACCCGACTTTGGAGACCGTCTGAGCAGAGCTGGAGGGAGCAGATAACACAGCAGGGTTGTAATGAAACCATAAAGCTGCATCCTTAGCTCCACCTGGCCGGTTCCACATTTTCAATTTTCTACCTGCAGACTCTCACAGGAGGAGATTTCAGCATTTTTCTACACTCACTGTCTGTAGCTGGTTGTCTTCACTCAGGTAACTGTCTCCAATGAAGGCTGGCTCTTTTTTTGACCTGGTTGCCTTTGCGGGTCTCTGAGGCTTCACTATGGGAGCTTTGGTGCTGAACATAGTTCTGGTTGTTTTGTCTGAGCCTTCAACCGGCCCGGAACTGGCCTTTGAGACATTCAGGACTCTGTTGTTCTCTGCTGCTTTGTGTTCAGTGGTTGGTGTTGTCTGACACTTCAGAGTCGGAGTCTGGGTGGTCCGTGCGTGTTTATCATTGCGCTCACTCTCTCTGCCAAAAGGCTCCGCAGTGACTTGTGAGTTGCTGTGGAAGACGGAACAAGATTTTAAGATGATCCCTGAGAGTTTGCCTGAGATCTTGGAAAACAATCATTTTGTAAACGGAGCGTAATTCCCCCGCTGAACACTGGGTGGAGTCTTGGTTTGTGATGTTCAGATGTAAAGAATTAAACTACCCCTACATTCTGCTCAGACCGGGTCCACTTGGGTCGTTCACTCACCTCCCTGGATGAAGACTTGGACGTCCGTCAGAGGCTCCATGGACGGGGGCAGACGGCTCGCTCTCTGGACTCTCTGTGTTTTGATCATGTTTGCTCGCATATCTTTTTTCTCCCAGAGTGAAGACTTGAAGGTGTTCCCGGGAGTGTATGGACCAGGATGTAAGCTTCTCCAGGTGTACACACAGGTAGAGAAGCATCAAGGAGCTGGCGGTGAACAGGCCAATCAGCAGCTTCCTCCACGTCCCCATGCCTTTGTCAAAGAGTGTTTGACGCCCCTGTTGGCAGGCGGTGCGTGTGCTGGTCTTGTCTGAAGGCTTATGAGGAGGCAGAGGGATCGAGGTCTGCGAGGATGTAAGTCCTGCTCAGGTCTCTCTCTCTGGTTTAACACTCAAGAGAAGGCAGAGGGATCGTTTGGGTGTGGCTGCTTCTCTGCAGATAGAAAGAGAGAGTTGGCAAGTGAGCAAATATTCAAGGAGAGGCGGGGTCGAAGAGGAAACTTTATATTTCACCATCAACATAGTTTCATATGATCCTTTTTTTAATGAAGCCGTTTCCTCATGCTTCAGAACACAAAGCAGGAGGACAAGGAGGTAGAGACCTTCACCTTTGGAATAGTAGACCATGATCCCCTGAGGTAGGCATCCTCTCTACTTTTTAGAGCATGCTTTACATTTTGATACGCTGTCCCTCAAATGCAAATTGGTCCCTCTGCAAGCAGCATTTTCAACCCTCCTCCCCCCCTCCGATCCTCCTCCGCTGTGTCTGACTTAATCAATGTCATGCTGTTGTCATTAAAGCCTCCTCTTTTTGGTGTTTTGGCGCTTCGTCTCCTTGTAAGCATTGGGGAAGGGCAGGAATGTGTGCTGTTCCTACGTAATGCTTTCCCAGAATTATGTGGAAGGGGCGGGAGAGATCCCTGACCGGAGTCCAGAGCAAGACCACCAAATGTACCACATAAATATTAGATGTTGCAACTTAAGACTTTTAATTGTTTTTTAGGGAATTGATGTGCACATTTTTATGTCGTCAGATTTATTTATTTAAACTAAGAGGAGGACCAAAGTGCAGACCAACAAAATTAATTTACGAAAACAAAAAACAGGCGATAAACAAACGCTTACTTTCTGAAGGACCATGAAATAAATGTCCAAACTGTCCAAGGTGAAAAGAGGGGAGTCACCACCAGGAAAACTAGTTAACAAAGTGACACCGGTGTGATGGTACTCTGACACCAAATCGTCTTTGATTAAACAGATGTGTAAGTGTGAGGAACAGGACAAACTGGTGAGGGAAACAAAGTGAACCACTAAAGGCCCAAACTACAAAAATACACACAAGAAACACAAGATTACAAAAAAAGAAAAGATAGAACACATGAACCTGAATCTGAACCAAGCAGAAATCTCCGGTCTTTAAAAATGAAGCTAATGCGGAAGTGCAAAATCCTGCAGTTCCTTGAATGTCCACTAGAGGCTGACTGCAGGAAGTCACATACACATGACACATATTACAGCATAAATAAACATGTTTACAGCCTGGGAAATAAAACGGAATTGTCTTGTCCAATGACACATCGACGTGTGGCTGCAGGAGCAACTGAGAAACAACAGACTCCACCCACTGAGTGTCACAGTGGTCGAAAGCCGACTTCATCTCTCCACAAGTGAAGGTGTACATCCTGTATTTATCTATAATTCCCTTCTTTACTGTCTCTCCTCTAGTAGTTGATTACTGTAAATATGTTTGTCTTTTATTGCTGAGTACCTTTGCCCTCTGTTGTGAGCTGTTGTATCACATTTCCTGGATAAAAATTGTATTGATCCCTCATTGGGGGAAATTTTGTTGTTACAACAGCTCAAAAAACAGAAGAAAAATATAATATTAATAGATAATAGTAGGCATCTATTTCTAGTGTATTTTTTCTTTCTTTATCTTATGTTAACCCCTGTGCAGAGTTCCAGTGAATGAAAGCAGAGTTTAGTTTGTGTAGGTGGAGATCTGCTGTAAAATAAAGGCAGAGGGTTCAGTCTTTTCAGAAAAAATACAACAGGCTCACCGTTCTCCTGCCTTTAAACCCCGACCTGAAGCTCCACCGAGACCCATAATAATCAACTTTCAGGAGTATACGACTAAGGAGACGGTTCTAAGTGAAGCTTGGAAAAAAGGGAAAATCCAGCTGGGTAGCAGAACTCTATATTTTGATCATGATCAAGATCGTAAAAAAGCGCAAAGAGTATATTGGAATAAAGAAAGTCCTGAAGGAAAAAAGGATCCGCTTTCAAACACCGTACACGAGCATGCGGATTCACTGGAACACTGGACCCCGAACGTAGGCAAGGAGGTGCTGCGGGATTTAAAGAAGCGAGGATTTCCCGTGGAGGAGCCGATGAGCGCGGAGGGCGCGGAGGGGAGCGGCTCCGTGAGCTGTTGGGGTGGCAACGAGCAGCGGGCCACCGGGAGAGAGAGTCGGCTGCTGCCCAGAGAGCGAGGGAACGACTACAGGAGTTTCAGAGGGGATGAGGGGATGAGCGAGGACTTTATCATCATGATCCGATCCGGTAGAGTAAAAAAACAAACAAAAACAAAAAAACCCTGAGTTGGCCATTCTTTGTTTACTAAATGCCTGGGAGAGGCGATTTTGTTTTGTTCAGGATGTGTTGGACTGTAAGGATGGTTGAGTTAATTTCATTTGACTCTCTTCTGGCCACCTTTAAGACTGGGCCCTCTCTTAGTGAGAGGTTTTTCCCCCGACCTGCCAACGGGGTCACAGGTGAGGAGGAGCATGAGTCTCCCCCTCTTTTGGAGGTCTGTTCTTGTTGTATGTGTTCAATAGTTCATAACTTTGTTCTTTTTCTGTTACGAGGGGCTACCAAACCAGTTAAGACTTGGCATGTGCACAGTAGGATCTCATAACCTGAAATTTGTCTCTTTAAATGTGAATGGCCTCAGAAACCCGGTTAAGAGGAGTAGGGTGTTAGCAAAAATGAAAAAGGATAAGATGCAAGTCATATTTTTACAAGAGACCTACATTTCAAAACAGGAGAATGATAAATTAAAAAAGTTTGGGTACTCTAACACTTTCTTTAGTTCTTGCAAAAATAGTCGTAAAAGAGGAGTGGTTACACTCATCTCAAACTCTCTTAACTTTGACCTCATCAAAGAAAAGGGAGATAAAGAAGGCAGATATACCATTAAGGAAGAATAGACAACACTCTGGTCACACTTGTTAATGTATATGTTCCACCTGAGAGCGACAGGAAATTCCTTAAAAACATGTTTGACACAGTAATCTCAGAAAGTGAAGGCATTTTAGTCTGTGCTGGAGACTGGAATACAGTTCTTAATTACTCTATGGATACAACAAGCAAAATTAGACAGACATCCCTTAAGTCAAAAGACCTTAATAAGTTACTTAAAGAAGCAGGGACGTACGATGTCTGGAGGAGCCTTCATGCACAAGAAAAAGACTTTACTCATTACTCAGCTACTCACCATGTGTACTCCAGAATAGACTACTTCTTAATGAACAACATAGATAGATACAGGGTAAAGGAATGCTCAATAGGAACAGCAGACATATCAGATCATAATGCAATCTACCTTACTATTAATATGAATAACAGATCGAAACATACACTCTGGAGACTAAATGTTGGAATTCTAAACAATGATACGGTTTTAAAAGAGGTTAAGAGAGAAATCAGTGACTGTATAAAAGATAACAACAATGGTCAAGTGGATCCAACTATACTATGGGATACTATTAAAGCGATAATGAGAGGGAAATTAATTTCAAGAACTGCATACTTAACCAAAACGAAGAAGGCAAAATACGATGAGTTACAAGAGACACTGAGAGGACTAGAGAAACAGCAACAGGAAAATGGAGATAGAGGACTGACTAACCAAATAAAGGAAACTAAAAAACAAATAGGGGACTTCTTGAATGATGAGCTTGAAAAGAAACTGAGATTTGCAAGACAAACCTTCTATGAATCAGGTTGGAAAGCAACAAAAATATTACCGAGACGACTCAGGTCACAACAAATGCAACACTCAATACACAAGATTAGAGACCCGGTAACCAATAAAATAACCTATGAACCGCAAGAAGTTCAAGAAATCTTTAAAGACTATTACAAAACCCTATACTCACAGTCTGAGGTTGAAGAGGAAGAACAAATAAACAGTTCCTATTATCGTTAGATCTACCCTCAATAGGAAAAACACAAAATGATAATTGAACTGCACCCATAACAAGAAAAGAATTGGACATAGCGATCAGAAAACTGAAAACAAATAAATGCCCTGGGAGTGACGGCTTTCCGAATGAGTGGTACAGGATATTTAAGGAAGATCTCGCGTCTGTAATGCTAGACTCTTTCAACTGGACACTCAATAAAGCAATGACACCACCTTCATGGAAAGAAGCTGTGATATCTGTCATCCCTAAAGAAGGTAAGAATAGAGAATGTTGCGGATCCTACCGTCCAATCTCTATTCTGAACGTAGATTATAAATTGTTTACATCAATAATCTCAGCTAGAATGGAACACTTTTTGCCTGATTTAATAGACGAGGACCAGACCGGATTTATAAAAGGACGACAAACACAGGATAACATCAGGAGAACCCTTCATATTATTGATCAAGTAAACAAACAAAAATTGACAGCAGCCCTGATAAGTCTTGATGCAGAAAAAGCATTTGATAGGGTTAGTTGGCCTTTTTTGTACAGAGTGCAAGAAAGACTGGGCTTTAATAACCAATTCATTAAGTGTATACATTTTTTATATAAAGACCCAACCGCCAGAATCAAAATCAACGGCCATCTGACGAGCAGTTTTAAACTGAGCCTTTAGCTCAAGCCATCAGACAAAACAAAGAACTTAAAGGTGTCAACATAGCAAGGGAGGAATATAGAATTGGATTATTTGCAGATGACATTATAACTTACCTCCAGGATCCAAATACAACTCTCCCCCTACTTATGACAGTTTTAGATGACTACGGTAAGATATCTGGTTATAAACTAAACATCACAAAAACACAGGTACTCTCTCTGAACTACAAACCAAACCAGCTAATCAGTCAGAAATATTATCTAAAATGGGAAGCAAAATCAATGAAGTATTTGGGTGTGCTACTCACTCAAAACCTGAATAATATATATGAAGCAAATTACAGCATTATTAACAATAAGATACAGAAAGATATGACAAAATGGTCAACATAGTATTGGACTTTAGTTCAAGAATTGAGGAAGTGAAAATGAATGTGTTGCCGAGGTTGCTGTATCTCTTCCTCTCACTACCAGTCAGAGTCCCAGAATCTCAGTTTACAACTTGGGATAAACAAATATCTCGGCTAATCTGGGCAGGTAAAAGACCAAGGGTAAAATTCAAGACTCTTCATATCGACAAGGAGAACGGAGGTCTAGCTCTCCCGAATCTTAAGGAATACTTTTATGCTGCCCAAATGAGATACATTGTGTGTTGGTGCTCTTCAGAGTACCAAGCTAGATGGAAACATATTGAGCTGAACGTGATGCAGTTTCAACCCCAGGCCAGACTAGGTGGAAAAGAAAGTATAGACAAAAAAGTGGAGAACTTTATTTTAGAGGGATCACTGAAAACATGGTATGAAGTTGTTAAGAAGTATAAATTGGAAGGGGATAGTAAACTTCTGATATGGCCGTCTCAGAGCCCTAGATTTAAACCTGGAGTGATGGATAATACATTTGCTAAGTGGAGTGAAAAGGGAATAACAGCTATATGTACACTCATAGAGAGAAAAAGGTTTAAAACTTTTGAGAAACTGAAACAAGAATTTAAGCTAGAGAATGGGGACCTATTTAGGTATTTACAGCTCAGACATTTTTATGATACAGAAATAAACAAAGAAATCTCAGCTGAAGGTAACGAGGTGGTTCAAACTCTGATTGGTGCTTACAAAAACACTCCATCAAAGATTGTTTCTAAACTTTATAGAAGTTTGCAGAAACAGAATGGAAGCAATACATGGTATGTTAAGACTAAATGGGAACTAGAACTGAATACAAACTTGTCAAAGAATGACTGGCATTTTATTTGTGAAACACAACAGTCGTCCACAAGCTCTAGAAGGTGGAGGGAATTTGGGTGGAAAAATGTTATACGCTTTTTTGTCACACCCCAAATAAAAAATAAGCAACTCGGTATTCACAGCAATGTTGGAGACAGTGTGGACAGATGAATTCCAATAACTCACATATTTTCTGGTTATGTATAAAATTGCAAACATTCTGGTGTAGGGTTATTCAGTCTTTTGAAGATATTCTATGTTATAAGATTCCCAGAGATCCCCGGATTGTGTATCTGGGCCTGATTCCTAATGACTTGATCCATAAGAAGGATATCTACCTTTTTAAAATCCTGATTCTTGCTTGTAAAAAGGCCATCACAAGGAACTGGTTGAAAAGTGATCCTCCAAGTCCAGCACAGTGGTTGGCCATCATGGAAGAAATTTTCTCTATGGAAAAACTGACTCATTACCTGCGAACTCGATCACGGACCCATGATCAACGAACAACCAACCACATTTATGTATCATCTAACATTAAAAAATATACAATATACAACATATAACTCACCGCTGTGTAAATCATAAACTCGTCCCGTCTTGGGCAAACCAAACAATTCTGCTTCTGCAGCATGCGATGAGGTGAGGGGAAGTGACCTTGTGAACCGGATATTTATGATAGGTGGGAGGAGTTCTGATAGGTTGAGGATTTTACCGGAGTTCAAGTGAGATTATGGAATGTTCTAGAAAAATAAAATAGGGAAATAAATAAAATAAAAAATAAAATGAAAACCAAATATTCATAAGTTATGGAGGTTCACTGAGGTCACTCCCCTCTCAAAAGAAAAAAAATAGCTGCTAAATGTATACCTTTTTTAAGTAAAAGAATCATTGTGCTTTAAAAAAAGAAAAAAAATAGAGAGCTAATATTTAAGTAACCTGTTTAATTAACCTGAGTTACAAATAGGCCTTCTGTTATATCTCATCTCCCAACTGAGATCAGATCAGAGAGTGCAGAGCTGTGGATAACTCAAGGTCAACCAAACACCTCTGAACTAGCTCTCAACTCCTCTGGCATTGCTCTTCAGACACGCTTTCTTACAAGCACCGTCCCATTGAGCACCCAGCAGTCACTCTCCGAACCATATACCAAGTGCTTGCCAGTCAGTACGACCCCGGGGGGTTTACAGTGCCATGTACCACAAGAGCAAAGGTTGTGGTGCAGCGACTGTGGGATAAAAATAGGAGCTGGGATGACACATCTCTCCCTGAAGATCTCCTTCAAGCCTGGCAGCAGTGGGAGAGTGAGCTCCCTGCTCTACAGAACATCACTATACTGAGGTGTTACAGCAGTAAGAGGATTGACACTGAAAGCAGTCGGAGAGCAATTCACATATTTTGCGATGCCTCAGAGCTAGCCTATGGCTCTGTAGCATATCTCCGGACAGAGAGTGCTGATGGTGAAGTGGAGACATTTTTTCTCACAGCTAGATCTTGTGTAGCTCCGAAGAGACAACAGTCTATCCCCTGTCTCGAGTTGTGTGCAGCACAACTGGCTAAAGTGTTGGAAGAAGAACTCACCGTTCCTATCCACCAGGTCGCACTGTGGTCCGATTCAACGACCCTTCTTGCATGGCTGCACTCTTGTTTGTAGGAACGCGAGTTGCAGAGATGCAAGAACTCACTGCCAAGGACTCATGACGATGTGTAGACTCTGCAAATAACCCAGTGGACGATATAACCAGAGGCAAGCTCCTGAAGGAGCTAACAGCAGACAGCCGTTAGTTCAAAGGTCCTCCCTTATCAGGCAGCAGCCGACTTATCACCTGAGCTCCAGAGTTTGACCAGGCCTCACAGCTTATCCGTGTTGGGGGCCGGCTGCGCCACACCCCTGCTATCAATGCAGAAACCATCCATCTAATCATTCTAGATCCCAAGCACAAAGTGACACAGCTCCTTATACAGCACTATGATGACCAGCTTCATCATCCAGGAAGTGAGCGAGTGTTTGCCGAGCGAAGAAGGAAATATTGGGTACTTAGAGGAAGGGAGGCTGTTCGACATCAACAGCATCATTGCATTGAATGCAAGAAGTGGCGTTGGAAATCCCACATCCCTCGGATGGCAGATCTCCCCCAGCCAGACTACGCCTTCATAGACCTACCTTTTATTCAACAGGTGTTGATTGTTTTGGTCCCTAGGACATCCTCAATTCCAAGCCATTAGGCTACACCTCCTCTGATGTGGCAGACCTCAATCCTGTTACCCCCTGCTGATGGGACGGCCAGACGCATCACTGCCACAGGTGGTATACCCAGAGTCAGAGCTCCTCAGTCAGCGACGGTGGCGTCACAGTCAACTCCTGGCTGACCACTTTTTTTTTTTTTTTTTAAAGATATCTTTATTATTTTTAAATTGAAAGACAACAAGCAAGAAACACTTACATCAATTACCGTATTTTGAACAATACAGGCAAGAAAAAGAAAAAAACCTACAACCAACCCACATAATGCAAAATTAAGCAAGCATATAGCACAAAAGGGTGGTGAGAGGGGAGAAAAACAGACGAGAGAAATAAAACAAACAGGAGGAGAAAACATTTAAATAAAGAGTAAATGTAATTACAATAACAAGAGATTACAAAAAGAATTACAAATAAAATGGCTACATAACCAAGACTTCAGGCAGTAAAGAGTAACAGCTTTTCCGTTTGAAAACAGGTTGAGTACGGGCCTCTTTAGGAATAGCTGTCCAAATAAGTCCATAAAGGCCTCTTCACAAGTCTGTGCTTTCTGTACTCCAATATAGATTAAGAAGGGGTCCCATATTTTATATAATGAAGAGGGTTTGTCCTTGAGCCAGTAGGTCATTGCCTCCAGGGGTAAGAGTTCTATTATACTTTGTACCCACATTGAGAGCTGAGGAGGTTTGTCAGAGATCCACTGAAGTAAGATGCATCTTCTAGCACCAAACAAAAGGACATCAAGGAGTTTCAACATGTTGGGATTAAGGTTAAGAGCAGAATGCAAACCGAGAATACAAGATACAGGCTTAAGATCTAGGTTTTCAAACATTACAGAAATTTCTTTACATACATTTACCCAAAACATTTTGATGAAAGGACAGTCGAAGATACAGTGAAAGTATGACCCCTCAATGACCTTACATTTATTACAATACTTTGAAAGAGAAGGGTTGAATCTATTCCGTAACAGTGGCGTAATTTGAATCCTGTAAATAATTTTGAATTGCATTTCCTTAACCTTGTTAGTGGACAGACAACCAGATGAACCCAACCAGACATGTCCCCATTCATCATCTGAGATTATTGTACCAAAGTCAGCCTCCCAAAGTGGCTCACGCCCTCTACTGGGGACACAGAGCATTATAAAACCTGGTTATTAATTTTCGAGGGCTGGGATCCTGCAGTACTTTTTCTACAGAAGATTGAGAGAACCCCCTTGAGTGTAACCTTATTTTTGAGGAGACAAAGCTCCGTGTAGTGTGTAGTGGGAAGGTTAAACTGATCCTTGAGCTGGTTAAAAGATTTAATAATACCATTAGCCACTAAGTCTGCTATGGTGCAAATGCCCTTGTCTGACCAAAGAGAGAAAGCAGAATCTACAATGCCAGGGGGAAAGTCTGGGTTTAGATAAATGGGGGTAAGAGTAGAAAGACAGTCTTCCTGAGCCTCTATCTTCCTACCTTTAAGGTGTTCAGGAGGAGGAAATTACCCCTTACTTTTTCTGAAACCCATTTTTTAGAAACATACATAATATTACCAAGAGGGACTTGGTCCAGAGGAGCAGCTTCTAAGTTGAGCCATGTAGATTTTGGGTCATTTCTAACCCATTCCCAAAGATACCTGCTCAGGCAAGCTAACTGGTAGTATTTAATATTGGGCAAAGCCAGTCCACCCTCTTCAAGTCGGAGCTGTAGCTTCTGTAGTTAAATCCATAAAAAGGAAGATAATGAGCTGTTTAAAATAGAGATTGGTTTTCTAGTCAAAAAAACTGGGATCATTTGAAAAACATCAACCAGCCGAGGGAGTATGTTCATTTTAAAAATATTTATTCTACCCAAAAAAGATAATGGGAGGGAAGTCCAGCGTGCCAGATTGTCTTTAATTCTGCGGATTAAAGGCAGAAAGTTCGCTTTATAAAGACCAGAGAGGGATGGAGTAATATATATACCCAGATAAACAAACCCAGCAGTGGACCATCGGAAAGGGGCAGAGCTATCTGATGTCAAAAGTGTATTATAAGTTAGGGGCATAGCCTCTGATTTTGTGTAATTAATTTTATAGCCTGAGAACCGCCTGAAAGTTTTAATGATCTCGATAACTCTAGAGATGGAGACTACGGGGTTGCTTAAGAATAACAAAATGTTTGCTTAATATTTACTTGGCTTGTGACCAAATTTATGCATTCTGTGCTTAGCATAAAAAAGGCATTTCTGGGCCTCAAACGTCATAACGGTGTCGAGGGCAGCAGCTGTGGTGTCTATCTGAGATCTCAACTCATCCAAAGGATTAGTATCAAATTCTCTCTTTAGTTTATCTAATTGTTCTCTCTCTCTAATTGTGTCTCTCTTAGGCTCCTCAAGATTGTTGGTTGACGGCCTGCCAGAACCCCCTGCTTTGCTAAAGTGCTCATGATGGCTAGGCCGGGTCTTTGTAACATAACAATGAGTAAGGTCTTTTACCTGCTTTTTGTAACATAACAATGAGTAAGGTCTTTTACCTGCTTTTTGTAACATAACAATGAGTAAGGTCTTTTACCTGCTTTTTGTAACATAACAATGAGTAAGGTCTTTTACCTGCTTTTTGTAACATAACAATGAGTAAGGTCTTTTACCTGCTTTTTGTAAAGTGTCTCGAGATAACACTTGTTATGAGTTGACGCTATACAAATAAAAATTTATTGATTGATTGATTGATAACGGTGTCGAGGGCAGCAGCTGTGGTGTCTATCTGAGATCTCAACTCATCCGAAGGATTAGTATCAAATTCTCTCTTTAGTTTATCTAATTGTTCTTCCAAATTATTTTGTTCTGCACCTCTCTTACGTTTCAAAAAGGCAGAAAAAAATATTATTATGCCACGTGATACAGCTTTTGCTGTCTCCCAAAGCACGTTAGGAGAGATATCTGGGGTGTCATTCTCAGCCATAAAAATCTTAAACTGCTCTTTAAAAATGAAGTCTGGATTTTTAAGAAGGGAATTTTTGAAACGCCATTGCGTTGGAGGACGCTGTTCTTTGCTAGACATAACCAAAAACAATGGGGAACGATCTGAGATAACAATACTACCAATTGAACATGAAACCACTTTCTGGAGGGCATGCCTAGGTGTAAAAAAATAGTCGATCCTGGAGGAGGATTTGTATACCTTAGAATAGAAAGTATATTGTCTGTCTGTGGGATGGAGAGTCCTCCAAGTGTCAATGAAGCCTACATCGCTGCAGCAGCCTGTCTGGACTGGCTTGTTCCAACATTGGAGTGCAAAATAGGTGCTTCTCGTTGTTGAATGTGAGCTGCAGCCGCGCAGGAAATAAGCGGACATCGGCGGCACAAAGCTTCTGTTTAACACTGGCAAAGGCTGCTCTCTGCTTGGCGACGTCCAACGTGAAGTCCGGAAAGATGCGCACCTGGTGCCCGCGGAAGTTGAGGGGAGCCCTCTCCCTCGCAAGACGGAGTATTTGTTGTTTGGCCTGAAAGTGGTGAACCTTGACGATCATTGGGCGCGGAGGAGCTCCTGGTTTGGGCTTGGGAGCCAAGGACCGGTGGGCTATGTCCAGCAGTGGGGAGCCCTTGGGGCTTTCAACACCAGTTTTTACAGTTCATTAAAAAAGTCGGCCATGAATGAGGTTACCTGTGGTCCCTCTTCACTCTCCATAATCCCGAAAGCTCTCAGGTTCTGATGCCTACTCCTCGATTCTAAATCCTTTGTTTTGGCCACCAGCGCCGTGTTGCTTTCTTTCAATGCACATGTAGCTTCGAGCTCGGTGACTCTGTTGTCGATATCTTGAAGTGACGTTTCTACATCCGTGAGTCGAGTGGCAAAAGAATCAATAGTGGATTGCAGAATACACATAGAAGACCGGGTCTCGTTCCTAAATGTTTCTTTAAGCTTAACAACGGAGGAGAGAGAGGGTTCTTCATGACCGTCTTCGTCATCGCCATTTTGTGGTTGAGAATTAGCATTAGCCTTATCGGTGGTCTGTGCTGGCCGGCTTTTCTCCGCTCGTTCATGCCGGGAACTTCCCTTCCCTGTCATCCTGTATACTTAAGTCATAAAACTTGGGCTGAATGATAAGTTAGAAAAGTAGTTTGCTAATGAATATTCACAAAATATGCAGGAGCTGGTCAGGACATGTCTACTCCCTATCCATGCTCAACAGCGCCCCTCCTGGCTGACCACTTTTGGAGGCGCTTTGTCAGATTTTACTTGCCTGACCTGCAGAAACGGCAGAAGTGGTGGTCTGACTGCCAAAACATTCAAGTTGGAGACACTGTGATGATCGCTGACCCGCAGCTTCCTCGGGCCTTATGGCCGATTGGCCTGATCACTCATACTGTTCCTGCCCCTGATGGGAGAGTTAGGACTGTGGATGTTAGAGTGGCGATCGCTCTTACACCAGACCAGTAGCCCGCATCATCAGTTTTCCAAAACTGCCGGACTGAAAGACTTAAGACTAAACTGTGGTTTATTGCCTTTTTGCTGTTATTCAGATTTCCTACAGAAATCTGGGGGCGGCTGTTAAAAAGGCCAGCAGTGGTAGATTCCAGCTCCGTAGTGTCTGGAGTCCCATCGATGGTGGTCTCCATGCTGAAAATGCTGTCTCAGTCTAACTTTGAGTCAGCCTAACGACAGGCTGAGAGCTGGAGCTGAGGCGCACTTCCTGTTCCTCTGTAGATTCAAACCAACACAGAATCACTCACACACACACTGAGATACAAACCACAGATTTTTATTCAAAAAGGTGAAAATCAGATTCAGAAATTGCACTTTAAAGGTCTCCCGTTTCCCCTCTTGCACTTTGAAATAAAACAACTTCAGATGACCGGATCCCTTCATCTGATTCGATATTAAACAAACAAAAAAAACCTTTTAGACTAATAACTAAACAAGCTCAAGTCAAATTTACAAAACACAATTTACAAAACACTAGATTGCATCAAAGAGAACCACCTTGGAGTCACATCTTTGAGTCAGTAGTTGAAGCTAAAAGCAAAAAGCATCGACACCCTGTAGAATCTGCTTCCATCATTTCAGCTCCTCGAGCTTCAAGTCGTTCTGCAACAGACTCCTTGATGAGGGTGCAGAATACCCAAAAGCCCCTTTTCCCAGTTTCTGTCCGAGCGTTTGGGACAGAAAGCAGAAAGAGTTTCTGAGAACGCAGGATTACTGTCCAGTACTTTCCTTCATGATGAAATGCCATCCAACCCGAGAGTACAACTCACAATGCTGAGTCAGCGCTTTACGGTTTGTTTTGAAACCTCGAGGACGCTTGGTAGGATGCATCAACCATATGGAGACACTGAGCAGAGGCGTGCATGTACAAAGAAAAGATCACCAGAGTCTAAGACAGGGAAAACTTAAAATTTAAGGAAAAGAACGACTTGTTTCTAAAATAAAAACAAGTTTTTTTCCTAGGAACAACACATGTGGTGTGACAGCAAAGGGACTCGTCAATCAGAGTTTACAACCTTAATATCCTTACCATCACCAGTAAAAACCACAGGTGCATTGTGTGATCTGGTCTTTGTAAAATGTAAACTTTTTATCTACTCTCTACAGACGTCATCTCCGGTCGGCGTGCGTCTCACTCGCGCATGTAGAGTCTCATGAGCCCCGCCTGATGCAGCTGCTGCCAGAGGACCAGCTCCATCTTCAGGTCGTGGTTGGTGGTGAAGCCTACCGGGCGGAGGCCTTTGTCGTAGTAGTACCTGGAGAACTTCTCGTAGCCCGGAGTCATAAAGCCGTACGCACTCACCTTCAGTCACACAGGAGACACCAAAGACAGAGTCAGACGGGACAGACGGGAAAAATGAAATAATAAATAAATAAATAAATAAATACATAACTTAATACATTTATAAATAATAAATTAATAAATGAATGAATAAATACATAAATAAATAAATAAATAAATACATACATACATACATACATACATACATACATACATACATAAATAAAAGTTGATCAATTAGAACAATGACTTCCAACAGGGAGAATAGCGTCTCTCGTGTCCACAGAGCGCCCCGTTCGCCTGTTTTCAGCACTATGTAACTGACTTCATCAATGTCATGATGATGTCATCGACGCTCTGTTCAGGTTAACGCTTCTGCTCTCTCTGTCTTAGGCTTTCCTTGAATGCACGAGACGTACACAGTAAGAAGGTAAATAAGTAACCAGCTGACAGAAATTAGAAGAAATATAGAACTCCACCTCGTCACAGGTGTGCAGTGCAGCCAGCAGCATCACAGCTCCAGTCGACGGACGGTAATTTCTCGCATTTCTAGCGGTCAGATATTTAGAATGGAGGAATCTGAAATGACAAATCACACAACATATCAGAAATAAACTGCATGCCCCCTCCCCCTCCCCCGCTCTGCAGATCATTCCCTCACCTGTTCCGGAGGTAACGCATGAAATCAGGATGAAGCATCTTCAACTTCTTAGCTGACACGTCCTTTCCAAACATTTTGGTTGGACTGTGAAGAAAAATATCAATAAATGTTTGTGGTGCATACTGAGGTTAGACACATGACTCTTTTACACAATATAAATATAAAACATCAGGCCAGAAGGCTTCATTCACCAAGTTTTTTCTAACTCTAATATGTGTGCCCAAGTAACATGACTCAAAATAAGACACAAAGTCAGTGAAGTATCCGTCATGTTCTCTGTGTTGTTCTCTGATGTATGAACATCCTTTTAACCGTGCTGAGGCCCGGTTAGTCCTGGAGCAGTGTGAGTGCAGGCCAGCGGGGCAATGGGGGGGGGGGCAATCCTGCTTAAGCATGGTACAGGACAAGTTTGCCTAGTGTGAGTGCACCCTAAATAAATCAGTTTTATTCAGACTGTAAGTGGACTCTACACTGCAGCTGTGTTTAATCCGTTAGCCCCCAGCAGTAATGATTTCCTGAGCTTTTTCAACAACAAAATTCTAGACATCAGAGACAAAATTGGTAACCTCCTGCCCTTACCTGGTGCAGATACGTCTGATACGGCAGAGACAGTTCCAGGACCAGATATTAGTCTAGACTGTTTTTCTCCAATCGACCTTTCAGAGCTAAATTCAATTATTTCTGCGTCGAAACCGTCAACCTGTCTTTTAGACTCAGTCAGGATTTAGAGTCCACCATAGCACTGAGACTGCACTAGTTAAAGTTACAAACGATCTACTTCTAGCTTCAGACAGGGGACTTCTCTCTGTTCTCGTCTTGTTAGATCTTAGTGCTGCTTTTGACACCATTGACCATCAGATCCTATTATACAGACTAGAACATTTACTTGGAATTACAGGGACTGCTTTAAGTTGGTTTGAATCCTACTTATCAGACCGATCTCAGTTTGTACATGTTAATGATAAGTCCTCTATGCACACCAAAGTTAGCCATGGAGTGCCACAAGGTTCAGTGCTTGGACCAATTCTCTTTACATTATATATGCTTCCTCTGGGAAATATTATGAGGAAACACTCCATACAGTTTCATTGTTATGCAGATGATACTCAGCTTTATGTATCAATGAAGCCTGATGGCACCAGTCAGTTATGTCAGCTAGAAACGTGCCTTAAGGACGTTAGGACCTGGATGACCAGAAATCTTTTGTTTCTTAACTCAGACAAGACTGAAGTTATTGTGCTAGGCCCTAAGAACCTCAGAGAGACTTTTTCTAGTGATTTGACTGTCCTTAGTGACATCAGCCTGGCATCTAGCATCACTGTCAGGAATCTAGGAGTTCTATTTGATCAAGATATGTCTTTTAGCTCTCACATCAGGCAAATTTCAAGAACAGCCTATTTTCACCTTCGTAATATATCTAAGATCAGGAATATCCTGTCGCAATATGATGCAGAAAAACTAGTTCATGCATTTGTTACCTCCAGGTTGGATTATTGTAACTCTCTTTTGTCAGGGTGCTCTGGTAAGTCTCTAAAGACTCTTCAACTAGTCCAGAACGCTGCAGCTCGTGTACTGACTTGAACTAGGAAGTTCAAGTCAGGTGTAGACCAGCTCCTAGTTATGCTGCTATAGGCTTAGACTACCGGGGGAACTGGCACCTTGAGCTCCTCTCTCTCTCTCTCTCTCTCTCTCTCTCTCTCTCTGTGCATATACAGTACATCATATTACTGCATGTATGTATCTGTAAATCTCAGTCACTAACCACCTACTTTCCTGGGAGCTCTTGAGCTCTCTTAGGCTCCTCGAGATCGTTGGTTGACGGCCTGCCAGAACAACCCCCCCCAGATTGTTGATGGACGGCTTGCCTGAAATTGATTGATTGATTGAATCATCAGCTGGGTGGTTGTTTACTTCCTCATGCCAAGACCGTAAACCAGCTTAGTCAGGACTGAGAGTCAGACTACATATCGGGTTCTAAAGAAGTATGCAGTAATCAGTTTCTAACACAGCTTCTGTTTCTAACAGTTTCTAACACAGCCCTACTTCCTGGGAGTCTGTCCAGAGCGTGTGAAAATTCAGTTTGAACATGAGGAAGATGTAGAGAAGAAGAAATATAAAAGAACATTGTGTTACTCTTTTCCCCGGTCTCTCCCTCTCTTCACTCGGGTGTGTGTCACCGCGGCCTTCACCATCAGGTAATCACGTTCATGAGATGGCAGCATCACATATCGTGTTTCCTGCGGGGAGCAGAGGGGCGTCATGTAGATGATTCGAGGTCATTACTCGAGCATTTTATGCAGGAAGAAATGTAACTCACCTTAGACAAAGGGGGTCCTTTAAAGCCAAGACCTTTGTACCTTATATACGAGTTACTCAGTGTGGTGGTGGTGAATGTGTAGTGGGTGGTCCGAGACCCCACGTCCTGCTCAAAGCCCTTAATGATTGCCCCGTTTGTCCTAAAAAAACAAGAATCCAAAAACATGGATGACAACATAAATGATCTCAAAGCCCTAAAACAATTGAAAATCTTTCATGGCATAAAGGTCATCTTGTAAGAAAATAAAAACTCTGGTCACGTGCTCAGACACAGCTCATTTACATATTTAAAGGTACAGACACAGAAACAGCCTGTTCTGAGCAGGGCTGAAATAGAGGGGTTTATAGACATGATCAAATACAGGATCAGAGTGGATTTAGAACAAGAAACTTCACACACATGTTTTGAGGAGCTCTGAGACTTATTTACACTGGTTGAAGACCAGATGTGACCTTTAAAGAAACACCAAGAGAATTTACAGACGGGCTAATGCTTGGCGTTGAAGGCTCCACTCTGGGCAGCATGCCACAGCTTTCCAGAGAGCGCAGAGCTAAACCCCAACCCAAGGGTGACGCAAAGTTTTGAGGCAGAAGGGAGGTGACCGGGGTGGTGGAGGCAAAGCTTTGCTAGCAGCAGCAGCGGTGTGAGCAGTATTAGTGTAGCAGAGATCAGTGAGACGGAAGATGTGTTTAAATCGACCGCCTTGACCTGCAATTGGTGTGGGTGTGGGCAGCTGGGGCGCAGGACTTCCTAGTCCTGCATGAACAAATGCAGAGCTAAGCTAGTCCAGAGTCGGTTTGTACCTGAAGACATAGTGGTGACTGTCGATCTCCTCCCCTTTCTTTGAGTTATTCAGGATCCCCCCGTTCCCCACCACAGCACAGCGGACACACTCGGAGTTCTTACTGTGGTCCTTCCAGTCGTCAAACATCTGCAAGTTAGCGGAAGAGTTGAGGAGGGAAAGAGTTTCCACCAGCACTGTAGAAACAGAAAAAAACACAGATAGAATGTCGGTTAGAGTATTTGAACACAGTCCTGAACGTTTTTTTTACACATTTTTTGTGGGCCATGTTTGTGCATCCGCCCACAGATTTGGTTATTTTTGACGAAAAAAACCCGCTCAATGTGAAGGGGCATGCTCATAGTGAAGTAATAAATGTAATATTGTAGCGAAAGGCTTTATATGCGATTTTTCAGACTTAAATGTAATCACTGTCCCACTGTCTGTGATGCTTTCAGAGTCCTATCTTCAGTTTGTTTACATCGCCGGGACGGCCGGCTGACTCCTCCCCTCGTGTATAAAGTTGTTTAATTGAGGGACTAGAGAAAAGAAGAATAACATACTGTACTCACTGCTTAACTGTGTTTCTAGATCACGCTCATTTCAGGTAAATTTACATGCAGTGTGAAGATACCAGCATAATAAAGATCACTAGCATTAGCATGCTAACACAACAATGCAGTGCGAGTTGTTTTGGTTTCATGCTGGTGCTCAAGGGCGACATCTGCTGGATCATAAAATCACATACAAAGCCTTTAAACTTACTTGTGTAACTGATCCCGCTCCAGCCGTGGACTGGTGTGTACTTCTTTAGCCGTTGATACTGCTCAGGAGTCGCATGTTTAGCCAGCATCAGGATCGGGATGTTGTTCAGATACCGCTCCCCAAATTCAGATTTCTTGACCCGACTTTGGAGACCGTCTGAGCAGAGCTGGAGGGAGCAGATAACACAGCAGGGTTGTAATGAAACCATAAAGCTGCATCCTTAGCTCCACCTGGCCGGTTCCACATTTTCAATTTTCTACCTGCAGACTCTCACAGGAGGAGATTTCAGCATTTTTCTACACTCACTGTCTGTAGCTGGTTGTCTTCACTCAGGTAGCTGTCTCCAATGAAGGCTGGCTCTTTTTTTGACCTGGTTGCCTTTGCGGGTCTCTGAGGCTTCACTATGGGAGCTTTGGTGCTGAACATAGTTCTGGTTGTTTTGTCTGAGCCTTCAACCGGCCCGGAACTGGCCTTTGAGACATTCAGGACTCTGTTGTTCTCTGCTGCTTTGTGTTCAGTGGTTGGTGTTGTCTGACACTTCAGAGTCGGAGTCTGGGTGGTCCGTGCGTGTTTATCATTGCGCTCACTCTCTCTGCCAAAAGGCTCCGCAGTGACTTGTGAGTTGCTGTGGAAGACGGAACAAGATTTTAAGATGATCCCTGAGAGTTCTGCCTGAGATCTTGGAAAACAATCATTTTGTAAACGGAGCGTAATTCCCCCGCTGAACACTGGGTGGAGTCTTGGTTTGTGATGTTCAGATGTAAAGAATTAAACTACCCCTACATTCTGCTCAGACCGGGTCCACTTGGGTCGTTCACTCACCTCCCTGGATGAAGACTTGGACGTCCGTCAGAGGCTCCATGGACGGGGGCAGACGGCTCGCTCTCTGGACTCTCTGTGTTTTGATCATGTTTGCTCGCATATCTTTTTTCTCCCAGAGCGAAGACTTGAAGGTGTTCCCGGGAGTGTATGGACCAGGATGGAAGCTTCTCCAGGTGTACACACAGGTAGAGAAGCATCAAGGAGCTGGCGGTGAACAGGCCAATCAGCAGCTTCCTCCACATCCCCATGCCTTTGTCAAAGAGTGTTTGACGTGTGCTGGTCTTGTCTGAAGGCTTATGAGGAGGCAGAGGGATCGAGGTCTGCGAGGATGTAAGTCCTGCTCAGGTCTCTCTCTCTGGTTTAACACTCAAGAGAAGGCAGAGGGATCGTTTGGGTGTGGCTGCTTCTCTGCAGATAGAAAGAGAGAGTTTTATTATTTTTTATTTTTTATTGTGATAAGGTGAACAAGTACAAAACAAAAATGTGCACATAGACATGACAATTAAAGCGACGGCAAATAAACAAAAACAGAAATAAACAAAACAAAATACGCAAACATTAGCAAAGACAAATACAATTTAAGTAGATATAAAAAAAAAGTCAAGTAGTAAGTTGAAGTAGCGTATAAGAAATGTGTGAATGTGTGTGTGGCAGGATAATACATTAAAGTGAGTGGCTGAATGGGAAGTAGCAAGAAAAATAAATAGCTAATTAGAAGATAGAAGATAATTGAGAGGAAGAGAAAGGAGGGGAGAAAAACAAAAAAAGATATATATGTGTCAACATTAAAGGATTTTTATTTCAGTTTGAGGTATGATTTTTCTGAGATGTAGGTGAGTTATGAATGGATTCCAGGTGTTATTAAAGGCTGATATATTGTTATTCTTGCAGGCTGCGATTCTTTCTATTACAATGTGTTCTGTGAGTAGGTTGGTCCAGTGAGTTATGTGGCAGTATCTTTTTGATTTCCAGTTCTGATAGATGATTTTTTTGGCGATAGTTAGAGAAATGAGTAGCGGGTTTTTGTAGTTATTTGGGATGGTGATTTGTGATGTGTCTTCAAGTAAGCAAAGTAATGGGGACGGGAGGACTCTGCAGCCCAAGATAGTGAAGAGATTTTCAGTGACTGTGATCCAAAACGAGTGAACTGGTTGACAGGCCCAAGTGGCGTGAAGATAGTCATCTGTGGAATCATGAGTGCATTGTGAACAATGCCTCAGGTCTGAGGCAGAAACATCACAGTAAAATTCATTATACTTTACATTTAACTCTGTGATTGTTTTTCTTTATTACAGAAGATGCTCTCAGATTCAGATCCATCAGCAACATGGAGGACTCGTCCCCTGACAACATGGAAGACTCGTCCCCCGACAACGCGGAGGACTCGTCCCCCGACAACGCGGAGGACTCGTCCCCCGACAACGCGGAGGACTCGTCCCCCGACAACGCGGAGGACTCGTCCCCCGACAACGCGGAGGACTCGTCCCCTGAGTGTTTCCTGTCCTCTCTCGATGGTCTTCTTCTCTTCAGTTATTAACTCTTGAAAACAGCAGCACAACATGCCAGACTGTTTGACAAGTCTGTGATTGAATAAATGGAAATGGAATCTCATACGTATCCTGCTATGCTTATTGGCTTTAAATGTTTAATATTAAATAAGTTTGAAGGCCATTTATCTCAGACGAGCCGGCTGTGACAAGCTGAGCTCGTCTGTTAGCTTTGCTGTTGTCTTAGCTGTTGTTGGTCAAGAAGAAATGAATGTCAGTTCAAGGACTTTTTAAATGTGAGCTATAAACTTAACTGCTAAATTATTTTACTGTGACCAACACGTTGTTGTACTCCAGTTAATCAGAAACAGTCATATCAGATTTTTAAAAAGTTTATTTAAACATTTTATGAAAAGAAAACTTCAATAAACAACCCCTGGCTTCATTAACCATGTGGAAGTAAGAGAGACCATCAGGTCGAACTGCTGGGACATAGGAGAATGTAAGGTCATTTCTCCCACAGTGGATGAGCAGGGCATCTGGCACAGGTGATAAAAGGAGGAGGTTCCTTCAAACTATGTGACCCCAGCCTGACCTCTGTAACAGGTGTGCAGATGAAGGTTGAAATGAGTCATTTTTAGGTTCAGTTGATTGTAAAATGGAAAAGAAAACATCACCTTTCTATTTAACATTTAGCTGGTGTATGACTCAGTGTGATTTTTATTTTAGAAGACTGTATTGTTAACAACAGCTTGTTTTTACAATCCTCTTCTGAAACTTAAATAAAGATCACAGGATATAAACTTTTAACAGATGATTTTAACTTACACTTCACCTCTGTGGAAGATGTCAGACCAGCTGCTTTTATCTCTTCTTTGCCTAAATGAAGATACAAAAAACAATAGATTTACTGTTCACTTAAATATATTAGAAAAGCAGACATGACTCACATTGCAGACTATCAGTTTCTAACAGAATACAACATATCTTACCACCTGTAGCCTACGGTCTGTGGTGCTAACCTAGCTTAAATATAGCTTCAATATAGAAGGATTTCATTAAAACAGAGGACCCAGCAGCCCACGTGTTTTCAATAATGATCAAAATAACTGGATTTTTTTAAAACACAGAGTTTAAATATTAGACTTTGAATACGGTGGTTTGTTGTACTTACACATTTCTTCATCGTAGACCGGCAGAGCGCTTTCGGCGTAGCTGGGCTGCGTAAGTCATCAGGGCAGTACGCTAAGTGGGCGGGGCATGTTACCAGGGCTCCTCCCCCCGGACCCTACTGCGCAGACTCTGGCTCCAAATGACGTCAAAATCGCAAGATGGAAGCGCCCCTAAGCGGCGTATTTTGGCTTCAAAAACGTTGAGTGGGAACAGCTACAGTGCGCGCCCACTGCTTTATACCTGGTGGAGATCATTTGCAGATACTGTGTTGTACCTGATACTGAAATCGCGACTGATTCTTTTGCATTGTACAAAATATGATGATTTAAGAGAATTATTGTAAACTCAAAATCAGAAATATTGGGGCGGACAGATGTGCAGAAACTGGAATGGTTAAACAGACGTGTAAGTGTGAGGAACAGGACAAACTGGTGAGGGAAACAAAGTGAACCACTAGAGGCCCAAACTACAAAAATACACACAAGAAACACAAGATTACAAAAAAAGAAAAGATAGAACACATGAACCTGAATCTGAACCAAGCAGAAATCTCCGGTCTTTAAAAAATGAAGCTAATGCGGAAGTGCAAAATCCTGCAGTTCCTCGAGTGTCCACTAGAGGCTGACTGCAGGAACATCGGAAGTCACATACACATGACACATATTACAGCATAAATAAACATGTTTACAGCCTGGTACAAAAAAACGGAATTCACGACAAGCGTCTTGTCCAATGACACATCGACTCCACCCACTGAGTGTCACAGTGGTCGAAAGCCGATTTCTTTCTAAGCCTATAATTCCCTTCTTTACTGTCTCTCCTCTAGTAGTTGATTACTGTAAATATGTTTGTCTTTTATTGCTGAGTACCTTTGCCCTCTGTTGTGAACATTTCCTGGTTAAAGTTTAAGAAATAAGATTTTATTGATATCTCATTGGGGGAAATTTTTAACAGCTCAAAATACAGGAATATAATTAGCAAAAAATAGCAAAAAAAATAAAAAAAACAAACATATTTACATCAATTAAATAAAGGAAGAAAAAATAGAATATTAATAGATAATAGTAGGCATCTATTTCTAGTGTATTTTTTCTTTCTTTATCTTATGTTAACCCCTGTGCAGAGTTCCAGTGAATGAAAGCAGAGTTTAGTTTGTGTAGGTGGAGATCTGCTGTAATAAAGGCAGTGGCTTCAGTCTTTTCAGAAAAAGATAAACTATATCATATTAACGGTTCAGTTTGTCTCGTCCCCCCACGTCCACGTTCCACCCTCGTTTTCTGATACCTCTGCCCATGTCATTAATAGAAGAATGAAAGTCCTCTCACCAGATCAGAATCTTCTTCCTTTGTGTTCCTCACTCTTCTCTTAATGATGGCTCCTCTGAGAGGTGAGCTCCACAGCTCATCGAGTGTCGCAGTGTCAACCCTCTGTGACAGGGTGATTAGTTTTACATTAGGCAATAAAAACATACACTGAGATGGATTGTGACACTGACAGGTAGTTTGGCTCAGTGTCAGCAGAAACGCAGTGTGGAGGAAAACTGGTTTGGTGAAGATGAAGCTGAGCCTGACTGTAAAGCTCTCAAATTATGAAAACCCCTGTTTCTGACTTTTAGGATTCAATCAGAATCATTAGACTGAAAAAAATACAGAAATTCAATTTCAATTCAATGTATTTGTATAGCGTCAACTCATAACAAGTGTTATCTCGAGACACTTTACAAAAAGCAGGTAAAAGACCTTACTCATTGTTATGTTACAAAAAGCAGGTCAAATCTCTTCCTCATTGTTATGTTACAAAAAGCAGGTAAAAGACCTTCCTCATTGTTATGTTACAAAAAGCAGGTCAAATCTCTTCCTCATTGTTATGTTACAAAAAGCAGGTCAAATCTCTTCCTCATTGTTATGTTACAAAAAGCAGGTCAAATCTCTTCCTCATTGTTATGTTACAAAAAGCAGGTCAAATCTCTTCCTCATTGTTATGTTACAAAAAGCAGGTCAAATCTCTTCCTCATTGTTATGTTACAAAAAGCAGGTAAAAGATCTTCCTCATTGTTATGTTACAAAAAGCAGGTAAAATCTCTTCCTCATTGTTATGTTACAAAAAGCAGGTAAAAGATCTTACTTATTGCTATGTTACAAAGACCCGGCCTATCCATCATGAGCACTTTAGCGAAGCAGCAAAAGTTACAGTGGTAAGAAAAAACTTTCTCATTAAAAGGCAGAAATCTTCGGCCGGAACCCTGGCTCATGACGAAACAGCCTTCACAGGCCTAGACTGCGCTGTGACTCTATACAAATAAGAGAGTATAAGAACAAACAGTAAGCGGAGGATGATAAGGAAACAGTCAAAGCTCACAGACCAGCTTCAGTTTCAGATCATAAAACTAATGAACATCTTTCTCTGACTCATTTCAAAGGGAAACGTTTTACTTTTTAATCCAATTAATTTACTTCAGTTTTAGCTCATGGCTGATAAAATACTCAAATTCATAACCGAAGAAACAGACCAGACGACACATTGTCAAGCTGTGAGTTTAGACTCTACGATCATATTCTACAATTCACTTATCAGATGGTTTTATCCAAAGCGATGGACATCAGAGAGTAAGAACAACACAAGCAAAATAGAGAGAGAGATAGGAGAACACAACGTCAGGAAGTGCAAACAAACAGCTTTAGGTGTGACTGGACACACAGGTGCTGACAGGAAGTGACCAGAGGCAGAGCACAACATCGACAGCTGTTCTTGAGAGTTCTGATCAGTCTCCAAACCATCCTAAAAATTATCAAATTAAAACAAAACCATCATCATTAAGTGTGTAGGTGTTCATAAAAAGCGGGGTCTTAAGCTTTTTCTTAAAGGTGCAGAGGGACTCTGTAGATCAAAAGGAGTTTGGAAGTTCGTTCCACCACCGGGGGGCGATATGATGAAATAAACAATGGAGATCGATATTAGTAAGATACCAGTGGAGAATAGTTTGTCAAACAGTCACATCAAGAGCAGCTGGAGAAAGATGTGAGAGGAAACAAAGACACCAAAAGTCGTCTTGATTCACAATCACAGATTTGAGTGTTTCTTTATTCACTTGTTCATTTTTTAAACATGAGAAACACAAAATGTAAAAAAAGCAGTTTAAAAAAAATCATATACATTGTAACATTTATATTTTTAAGCAAATTTCTTTTGGATAAAAAAGTAGAAAATGTCAGCAAAAATATCTCTTCAAAATCTTTAAAATACATTTGACGAATATATATCTTTAAAAAGCATCAGACTGTGTCGTCCCCACGACCACCGCCATCCTCGTTCATCCACGGCCTGCTCCGTAAAGCGTCTCTGATGACGCTATACAAATAAAAATTGATTGAAAAAATAGAAAAGTAACATCTGTTTGACAGAAAGTGCAAGAACTGTACAAGAATGAAAACCTCCGACACAGCAGAGACAGTGATCTCTACGAAGCCCCTGAAGGCTCATGTAAGGAAAACTTGAAGCGGTTTGTAAATCCATTCCCGCAGTTTAAAAATCCCTGTGCATGGTTTATTCAACCAGCGTTTATCACCACCAGGTGGTTTTCAAAACAGCATTGCATGCTATGCTTAGCAGGGAAAAAATAGTGAGTGCTGTCAGACGGGGCCCCTTTAGGGAGGTTCCTACTGTCATTGAAAAATGTACACATTTTGAGCTACCACTGCTGTGGTGTAAAGTTTGTCAGCCCTCTAGGCCCCCCTACTGGCCTAGAGCCCAAGTAGTTGCCTGCCTGTTGACAATCAATACCTCTGGATGTGGGACTGGATCTATAAGCAGAGCCTTCAGGGGGCTCTGGTAAATTAAAATTTAAAGTGGATCAAAGGTTGGAAGAAAGAAACCGTTTTTTAAATGTACAGTCACAATTTTTGCTCTCTAGCTCCTCAGTTAAGTCACGCCAAAAATGAAAGTTTTGACCCCAAAGAGCAGCTTCATGGTTAATCTTGCTTTTTTTTTTACAACGTTGAGTGTTTACATGGACGTGAGCGTCCTCGTTATGAGCCGTATCTGTTCAGGATAAGGTGCTTACATGCACACACAGTATCCAGATTCCATTCTGAGTTCTCAAGGTAGCAAAATCGTGTTTCTTAAGACCAGGTAAAAGGCTTATCCTGGTTTCTGAAATCTGGATATGATGTTCACATGCACAATCACAAAAAAACAGGGTACTTATAAAACCCAATCCACTGAAGTCCATGTGAACGCTCTCATTGAGCTCTATTGTCCAGAGTCCAGAGGAAGACTCTTTAGATACACAGATGATAGCTCCCTCACTTCTGAGGAACATGGAGCCCGCGGTGATGGACGGCAGCCTCGTCTTCTCTCCTATCCAGCCGTTGTAGTTCGTCACTTTGGTGTAAACGCCGGGCCGAAACTCTTTAGCGCAGCCGTCTCCCCAGCTGATGACTCCAAACTGGAAGAGCCTGCCGCCCACCTCGCACACCAGAGGCCCTCCAGAGTCTCCCTGTTGGAAAACGAGACGAGAGGCATTAAAAGGAAGACAACAAAACCCGTCTCTGGAATCAAAGACTGATCGAGTTCGGGCTTGTCGTAAATACCTCACAGGCATCCTGGCTCCAGTCAGGTCGGCCGGCACAGAACATGTTATCAGTGATCATGTTTGCGTAATAATCCTCGTGCCGACACACATCATCGGCGAAGAGGTTCACCTGAGCCTCTTGGAGGAGCTGAGACCTGTACCACAGACCTGAGACAAGACAAGGTGTTCAGAGCAGACACATAACTCATGATTGGTTTAAAAATACAGATACTTACAAGTAAGAACAAACATATAAAAACACATTCAGAAACGAGCCCTCGCACCTCAAACTTTGACCGCACGCAATGGCCATGCCCATGTTTTTAATCTTCAAAGTGTCTTCAATACTTTGACCAAAGATGGCGAGGATTGGATGAAACCCCTAGGACGAGTTAGTTCAACTACAAAGTCTGTAAAACACTAAAACAAGCCATTATTTTGAAATACAACTCAAAATGGCAGACTTCCTGTTCAGCTTTGGTTATGGGCTCAAGAGGATTTTTTGTAGGTCTTGACATGGTTAATATGCACACCCAATTTCACACCTGTAAGTCAAAGTCACCTCAACATTTTGCTTTTCCCACTGGGATAATGTCTATTGAGTTTTGTGATTGTACCGGTATGTTAAGCCCCTCAAATATGTTGCATGGCGAACAATGTGTCACCACAGCTGTTGTCAACCGCAAAGTGTTTCGATACGTCTTAATCTTCGAGGTGTCTACAATACTTTTACCAAAGATGGTGAGGATCGGATGAAACCTCTAGGACGAGTTGGTTCAAATACAAAGCCTGTAAAACACTAAAATGAGCCATTATTTTGAAATTCAAATCAAAATGGCGGACTTCCTGTTTGGTTTTGGCTATGGGTACAAGAGGATTTTTTGTAGGTCTTCACATGGTTAATATGCACACCCAATTTCACACCTGTAGGCCAACGTTGTGAGATGTAATATAACGGTGTTCACATTCTTTTCCGTCACAGAGAGAACAGCAGTGATCAGAGGCCTCTCCTCACCGTATTTCTCTTTCCCGTATCCGGCGATCTCGCAGGTGACACCAGGCTGGAGGCGCTGCAGAGGCGGAGGCAGACAGACGGTCTTCACCAAGTGGTTTTCTTCTGCACACTTTCCATATTTGGTCGTCAGCTTCACCAGAGCTTCAAAATGAAATGAAGACGTTTTCTGGTTTAATTACAAAAACAACATCATGACTGAAGCGTCTGAAGGTGACAGGGTTCATACCGATGTCATTGTTGAAGTTTCCCTCGCTGTTGTTGAACCCTTCATGGACGATGATTTGTTCCACCCTGAATGTTTGCTCCGCATACAGATCCGTCTCATTCAGAGCGTTCTTCCCTAGGCTGACGGAGAAGCGGCGCTCTTTAGTGTGGGAGCTGGAACACAAATTCAGCAGTAATGAACCTGTTGTTTCCTTTGCACTTGCTGCTGTGGTTACACTCAGTGACATCACTTCCTCCTACCCGTCAGGGAAGCAGTGGGCAGCTGTGAGGACCCAGCAGGCCGAGATCAAACTCCCCCCGCAGCGGAAAACCTTCTTGGATTTGCTGCGCGAAAATATGGCTGCCACCCACGGGTGAGATTCCACAGTGGAGACCGTCCCACCCACGATCTTCATCTGCTTCCGTCTGGTGCGCTGGCCACATGTGGACGTCTCTGCAGCTGGAGGTGAAACAAAGCTCAGAGGAGTGAGGGGAGAAAAAATATGCAAAAGAGAGACGGTGAGTTCAGTATTTCTGTGAACTAACCGGGCACTGGTAGAGTCGGTGCAGGAGAAGGCGGGGCTGGAACTACAAGAGAACAAACATTTTTCACTGATGAAGTTCTGAAACCTGAGCTCAGATTATCTCTAAAGACATGGAAGTGAAAATGATCTTACACGACTCCAAGCCACAGCGAGGAATATCACAATACTCCCACGTCAGCTGCTGTTTTTTCCACACTTGGCACCACGGACGCCGTTTGTAGAGAATATTTCTGACGGAAAAAATACATGTAAAATCCATAAAACTACAAAATATGTAACAAAAAAATATTATAAGGACTTATTTGTAACAGCCTGAAATTGAGAAATATGTAACTCTGACACCTAGTGTTTAAAATGGGTACTGCAGTCCAAATTCAAAACATTGTAAAGAGCTGTCTCCCCCCCTCCTCTCTAGAGTGGATGCTCACTCAGGTCACCATGTGGTGGACTCTGAAGCTTCAGTGTTTATCCAGCTCTGCATGGGTCTGTAAACCTTTCTGTGTTCTAACCTCTCTCCATTTTTCAAAAGCATCTCCAATATTGATCCTAGTTTGAGCACGTTTCTGCTCGTGGAGCTTATTAGAAACATGCAGAGGCTTTTTAGGTCGGGTACAATCACTTCTATCTGAACCACTTCTCTTGACCGCTTCCATCACTGCAACACCTGTTGACCTGATAACTGCTCTCATATCTGACAAACCGAGGGGCGTCCAAAACGGCCGTGTTGGGGGTGTCTTAAAAGCGCCTACCTTCTCTGGTCCAAACAAATCCAGAGCATTCAGGAGCAGAATCTAAAGTTAGAAGGAGGACATACTGGCTGCTGCATTGTTGTCAGAGAAGCCAGCACTTCAACATAGCATGTTTCCTTAATGTCTGATCATATAGTAAGGTACCTTTAGATATGATATTGCTCCATTAAGCCAAAGAGATTAAATCACATGTTCAAACTCTTTACTTCCTGCACTGTTTATCTGAGGCGGACCTAAACACCCCCAGGTATTGCTGGGAGGAAATACTTAACGCAATAACAGCTGCATGCACAGCGCCTCTGTAGACTCTGTGTGTTGGATGCCTCTTACCTCCTAGGGTGTATTTGCTCTCTTGCTACTGGTTGAAGATGCTCAAATTAATTCTCTTGTCCTTTGACTTCAGATGAATCTGAACACTAAGATGGTTTTAAGTAACAAAAAGACGATCAAGACCAAAAAGACTATTGAAAAATGTTTATTTTACCTGCAGTAATTGTGCCTCCCTGCATTGACATCAGACGACATGTATCGCTCCCTGGTGTCTGAATCCCACTCCAAACAAGCCCGCCCACTCCTTGATGTAGACGCTGTGCCTCTGTAGTACAGTCCAATGCCCTCGTAGCAGTGAGCACTCTTTCCTGAAGGGAAACCAGGTGGATTTAGTAAAAAGCATGAAAAAGACAAAAAATGGAGATTGGTTTGAAGTTCATCTTCTTCACCTGTTTCACAGCGTCTCCCCTCAAAACCGTTGGCACACAAACAAAACATGTGTTCTCCAGACGTCAGGGACGGGACAGAGGAGCCTCCGTTCAGACAGATCCCACCTGAGGAACAAAAGACACGCCTCATGCTCAACACAGCCCAATGATGATACATGATTTACAGCTTCAGAAAGTGCAGCTTCTCACCTGAACTTTCTAAGGAGGACAAGAGCGAAGATGATGAAGAGGACGAGAAAACTGACAATTCCCGCCGCTTTCTGTCTGTAAACAGGTCCTAAAAAAAATGCAAGAAGTCCTTTAAACCCAATCAAAGAAATGCAACATTTCAACAAGTCAGATTTAAAAAAAACATTCTTACTGCTTCAGCCGTCATCAGGACTGCAAGGGTGCAAATCAGAACGCCAAAGCTCTTCATTGTTGTCTCGTCTTCTCTCTCTCTGCTCAGACTGAGAAATCCAAACAGCATGAGCGTGCACGCACTGAGCCGAGTCTGCTTAGTCTGGGAACCTCCTCGGGGTTTTCTCTGTTTTTGTATTCTGCATGCAGGGAGAAGGGAGGGTCCTGATTGGCTGATTTGCTGTGAGGAAAGAGTTGTTTGCAGTGCAATAGCATGAGTAAGTGTTGTGAATACAGATTTAATTCTCAGTTACTTTGGCATGTTGGAATCTGTGGAGGCAGATCAGACATGCAGCTGTTGGTACGGTTTATATCAAATTATTCTGGATTAAAGAAGTGAATGACGAGTAGTTACCGTAAAAAGATGATTACGACTGTTTGTGTTTCATGAAACCCCGCTGGCTGGGTTACCAGATGCTACTATGACCACATTGTCTTTTGTGCGTATTTGGATTTATCATGTTGGGAAGTTTTACTTGGAAAAAAGGTTTGACCTCAATGAGTCATAGACTGTAAATATGAATGTTTTGAAGCCTGAGTGACGTCACCCGTCTGTTCCTGCAGTCTGTTCCTGGAGTCCCATCGATGGCGGTCTCCATGCTGGAAATGCTGTCTCAGTCTAACTTTCAGTCAACCTAACGACAGGCTGAGAGCTGGAGCTGAGGCGGGTTTTAAACCTCCTGACAAACCGTTACACCGTGCCCACCTGTCAATCAGGTCAGCTACACGCCTTATTGTGAATAACTCTTATCCTTCATCAAATCAAAACTGATGAGTCATCAAAACATTCACCCCCCGTACAGTGTGTGTCCATGGAGACATGAGCTAATCACACCTATTTGGTTTTTTGAACCAGGCTGTAAACATGTTCATCTCTGCTGTAAAAACAAGCTTTTAGAATGGGTGTGTATGTGACCTCCTGTGCCAGCCTCTAGTGGACACTTGAGGAACTGCAGGATTTTACACTTCAGCATCGGCTTGATCTGTTTCGTCTAGTTATATCTCCATGTAATGTTCTAATATGTGATCGATGGATTTGTTTCTGTCACTTATATGGAGTCTTTAGAGGTTGCCGTCACTGGTTTTGATATGTTGTGCAGCTGTGATCCAACTGACTCAGAACTGTCAAAGAGGGAAGTTCATATTTGGGTATTCCTGATTACCTGGAAAAGTTTTCCCATGGATGATGTTACGTAACTCACAGATGGAGCCCGGCCTAAAACTCTCTGGATTAAATCATCAGGACAAATCTTCTTTTTTTAAAAACACTGTTAGAAACTAAGATGTACCTTGAAGAGGCCACGTCTTCTAAGATGCATTTTGGAGCCAACTGCTTTGGGCTTAAATACATTTGGATATATTTAGAGTAAGAACCCTGAGTAGACATCCCAACAGTTTATTTCACTCTGTTTACCTGTGATAATGAGTAGCCTACATTTCTACCTGCTTAGCATCTAAGGATGTAAATTAGCATCCCTGCTAACTCTTGCAGGTTAAAAATCTTTAGACCGTCTAACCCTATGAAACAAATAAACACTTATTCATTGTTTTGACTTAATTTTTTGATGACTTGACTTGGTAGTCATAGCATCATGCTAGTTAGCTTGACTAGTTCGGTAAGCTATGCTATCCTAATCTGATCTTGTGTTTTAAAGAGGTTATATTCTGCCCTTTTTGGCGTTTGAATATTTAATCTATGTACCTACTAAAGTATGTTCACAATAACTAAAGTTCTAAAAAGTGTCTGTTTTCACCGGCTCTCTTCTGACTCTCTCTCTAAGGCTCTGAAGCGCCCACGTTCAGAGTCCCCACGTGGGCCAAGTCTGATCTGATTGGTCGGCCTGTCTGCTCTGCCGTAATTGGTCAGTCGCTCAGCACGGTTCTCAGAAATGTCCCGCCTCTTTTACCATATTGGGAATGCAGCCACTTTGGCTCCGAGGGGAGCATAAACATTAGCACCTTAGCACTACTGTGCTACCGCAGGCTACGGCATATCGTGGGCGTGCTACAGAAGTTAACGGGCGTGCAACATGAGCTGCAGGGCCACAACGAGCCAATGGGCTTAGATCAGTGATCTCACACTGACAATGACGTCACACTGACACATTTTTATCGAGGGGGGCTAGAACCGAGCGTTACATGCAGCTAATGCTGCAGCTAACAGGAGGACGTAGGAGAAGCTGCGTTTCCGTGGACTTTTAATTTTTGCACATAGATGAACCTAAACATGCACAGGACACTTGGAAAACACACTAAAGAGCAGATAAAACCAGAAGAAGAAGAATATGGGACCTTTAAGATCTAATTTTTCATTTACTTCTACAAGTTTAAAATCACACTTTCTCTACTTTGTGATTTAAATGTGGACATGAAAATACGTCCTATCAGAAAAGTTTTGTTTTTGCCAAGAAGTCATATTAGAAATAAAGTTTTATCAAAATAAAAAAAAACGAATGAAATGAAGCCTGCTTCAGAGGTCTACAGTACAGTTTTTAATTCATCCACCAGGTGTCACTGTTGCTCTTTAATCAGAGCACATTGTCCTCACTGCACCTGAAGTGGACTGAAGGAATCATCCACTGAAAATCAATCAATATAATTAATCAAATATTATCGTTGATTATAAATCATGACGATGACGTCATTTCAGTCATTTTAACTGAATCTGAATCTTTGAGTCACGTGAATGAAAGCAAATATGTACTTTAGGATCCCGGAAGTCGCCTTCTGTGGATCCTGCTCGGGTTTACGTGGCCTTTGAGGGCAGTCGGAATTATTAGCTGTGTTGGGCAGACTTGAGATAAAACAACATGAAAACGGATTTTGTCAAACAAACAAATAAAGGTAGAGTGACGTAAGGTAAGGTAAGGTGACATAGGGTAAGGTAAGGTAAGGTAAGGTGACATAGGATAAGGTAAGGTAAGGTGACACAGGGTAAGGTAAGGTAAGGTAAGGTGACATAGGGTAAGGTAAGGTAAGGTAAGGTGACATAGGGTAAGGTAAGGTAAGGTAAGGTGACATAGGGTAAGGTATGGTATGGTAACTTGTATTTGTACCCAAACAGTAGTGATGCACTCTTTGTTGGGACCCTGTACTGTTTTTTGACGGTGCAAGATACAAGACAATACGATGTGATATGATATGATACACTTTATTGTTCCCTTTGGGTTCATTTGTCTTGGACTAAGAAGTGCTTTTCAGTCAATCAATACATAAAAACAATAGAAACAAACACAATCTACATGTAAACAAAAAGCACATACCAATAAAAACTATAAAACACAACAACATATATTGCACATTACGCACAAAATCTGTAATGTTAGCCTATTAGTGTTTTATTTCTGTCTTTTCTTTATTTTTTCAATTTGCTTGACTTATCATGAAACTTGTTTATTTTTCCTTTTTGTTTCACAGTATAAGTCTATAAGTATGAGGACCCCTCATATCCCCTGTCTTTCAAATAAAAACAAACATAAAGTTAGAAATCCTCCAGTTTAAAGCTGCAGTTGGTGTTATTTCCGCGTGAACACGGTAGTTTCCGAGCGGCTCCTGAACGCGTCAGAGCGGTGATGAGGGAGATTATCCTCCTTCACTGCGAAGCTCTCAGCGTCAACACGGATCCACGGGAGACCGGCTGGAGGGGACGCAACATGGGGAACACGGACACCAAACTTCACTTCAGGAAAGCGGTGATTCAGCTCACGACCAAAACTCAGGTCAGATTTTTTTAACTCCACGAAACTCTAAAAAAAAAATAAAATAAAAATAAAAACTAAAGAGACACGTTAGAGGAGAGCGTCTGTTTGTGGTTCAGCCTGTGCAGATAAAGTTAGTGTGCCAGATGGTAGCCTGGACTGAAGCACAGATGACACAGAGTCCACTCAAAAACACTTCAATCGCTTTATAATGAAGGATTTTTAATCAATGTTCACTTTTATCTCCTTAAATATGATCTTTTATTGAATATTTGTGCAGATTACGTCACCAGAAACTCTAATTTCTGGCCTCTAGATCGTTTGAATCCCTTTTAATTTGAGGTTTAAATAATCTGCTGATGATAATGTTACGTGAAATATGTGTAAATACATGAGATTTCCATCAGGCAGCAGGATGAACAGGTGAATTGACGGTGGATCTTCCTCCTCTGCTGTATTAATCATGTGGATGCAGCTGCAGCAGTGGTCCATGAAATCAAAACTTTATTTGGTAGAGAAATTTAGAAAATAAATTTGGTTTAAACAGTTTTACATTGAAGAATTTGGTGCTGAACCTTTTTTATCTTTCGGTTTAAAAGAAACACACTTGACCCGCTTGGACTGAGACTTCAGAGTAGGAGAATTGTTTTGGTTGTGTGTCACATTTTTTCTGGGATTTTCTGACAAATTAATGGATAATGCCTCTCAAATGCTCGAGCTTTGAAAGGAAGGCCACCGAGTTTTCTGAGGAGACAAAGTCGCTGTGAGTGTTAAAGGTCACATATTCTGTAAAATCCTCTTCTCCATGTTCCTCTAACTCTAACATGTGTCTCTAGTCCGTCTACAAACCCCCCCAATCATGAGAAAAGTCCATCCTCTCCGTCTTCTGCCTGCTCCACTTTTCAGAAAATGTGTGCTCAAACAGGCCGTTTGGAGATTTTCCCTTCATGACATCACAAAGGGCAGTAGCCCCTCCCCCAGGTGGGTGACACTCCCACAGCTAGGTGTTTGTTCTGCCCTCTGAGTCTGCCTTCTCACCGTAAACAATAGGACATGGAGCGAGAAAGACCGAGTACACCCAAGCCCTTCCAGAGAGGGGGCGCGTGGTCAGACACAGCTCATTTACATATTTAAAGGTACAGACACAGAAACAGCCTGTTCTGAGCAGGGCTGAAATAGAGGGGTTTATAGACATGATCAAATACAGGATCAGAGTGGATTTAGAACAAGAAACTTCACACACATGTTTTGAGGAGCTCTGAGACTTATTTCAACTGGTTGAAGAAGAGGAAGAGATGTGACCTTTAATGAATCATCAAATCTGATCTGGACTTTGTTTTTATCTGTGATAAGAAGGACAACATCCACAAGTGCTCTGATTGTTTACAGAGTTATATGAACCCCTGCTGTCCTCTGACTATAATTAGCAGCTGTGATATGAATAATAAATGTAGACTCCCAGATGGTGCTCATGTGGAGGTCAGCGCTTGGTGATGTGACTGCTGTGGTGTGAAGGGGAACACAGAGTGATGTATTGGTGTGTTTCCTCTCCTGCAGCCTGTAGAAGCCACAGACGATGCGTTCTGGGATCAGTTCTGGGCCGACGCCTCCACCAACGTGCAGGATGTTTTCACTCTGGTGCCGGCCGCAGAGATCCGAGCGGTCAGAGAGGAATCGCCGTCAAACCTGGCGACCCTGTGCTACAAGGTAACCGGCTCCTTCCTCTGCAGGACGCTGTGTGTCATATTTATGAAGCTGCTCTGTCAGGGGGAGAACATACAGACTGAGATAAAATTACCAGTGTCTTAAATTCACTCTGTTGAAGCTAAAAAAAAAATGTAAAAGTGGAGTTTATCATTTTATACTGCTGGGTGGTTTAATGTATAATCAGACATCATCATAGCTTTGATCCAAAATGTTGTGGAGAAGAAGTTTAACGAGCAGAAAGTGGAACGACGATTCGAGTCAAAGAGCGAGAAGACGACTCTCCTTCAGGTTTGTGTTTTTCTCTTGATCCCACCTCCAGCGTCATCAGTCCATCCTGGATACAGACGGACTCAGAGGAATGCTGCTGTTTGTTGTTCCCACATGTCACTGTTGTAAAAGGTCAAAGGTCATTTGGGGTAAAGAAACAATGAGGTTGTACATTTCTCTCTCAGTGAGGATCAGATGGTTTAGAACAGTGGTTCTCAAACTATGGTACCACCACAGGGAGCCCAAAGAAATCTCCACAATATAAAAAACAAACCCGTTCAGCATAAAACAACATTTTTTATTTTTGTCGGACTCTCATCTTATCTGTCTTGTATCTATTGAGTTGTATTTATATCAAATGTGCTTTCCCCTCTAAATTAATTTAGTTTTTGCAACAAACAACTTTAATCTGCTCAATTTATGCTCGCAGACATAAACAACAACAGGAGTACGCCCCGCGTTTTGAAAAGCTCCCCTTGATATTCTGTTATAGTTCAGTCCTGAATCAACAGAAAGCAGCTGTAGACCTACATTAACAGATATTCTGTTATAGTTCAGTCCTGAATCAACAGAAAGCAGCTGTAGACCTACATTAACAGATATTCTGTTATTTATTGGAGTTAAGTGCAATCGGCAGCAAGCAGCTGTAGCCTACATAACGGAGCCAGGAGGAGCTTCACTTTTTGATGCATGTACGGACAGTCGCTCACCCTCTCTCTCTCTCTCTCTCTCTCTCTCTCTCTCTCTCTCTCTCTGTAGCTGATGTGATTCTGCTCTCTTTTGCTGTCTTAACACTCAGCAGGAGTCGAGAGGGATTTTTTTTTTTAAAAGTCAGTTTTTGCTATGTTGAACACAGAGACTTAATAATACAGTGCGGAGCGCCCGCCTGCACTCTCTCTCTCTCCCCCGCTCCCTCTCTCTCTCTCTCTCTCTCTCTCTCTCCCCCCGCTCCCTCTCTCTCTCTCTCTCCCTCTCTCTCTCTCTCTCTCTCTCTCTCTCTCTCTCTCTCTCTCTCTCTCTCTCAGGCACGCAGCAATTTTATGAATAAATGAAAAATTAAATAAGAACAGGTCTGAAATATACTTGGGCCCAGGTATCGTGTTTGTGTGGGAGACACTGGAGACTAAATATTGTCAAACAGGTTGTTGGTATAAAGTTGTCATTTTTATTGTGCTGCACTTTTTTAGATTTGGGTAAATGTCAGAGTTAGTTTAAGTGTCAGTTCTAGCCCTTTGTAGTCCTATAGTGTGGCTGCCAACAGTCAACAATAAATAACCTCCTGATTAAAATGTGTGTAGAAATAGGCCTACAGTGTATTTTAACATCTACCATAATGGTGTTACTTGGAGAGCCAAATATTTTCGGAGGTGGTACGCGGTCTAAGAAGTTTGAGAACCACTGGTTTAGAGATACAGCAGCATTAAGTTATTTTTTTAGCAAATGATTTTAAGCAACTTTGAGGTATACACACTCCTTTTTGAACCAGGCTGTAAACATGACAGTTTTAATATGGGGTGTGTATGTGACTTCTGGGGCTTTTGGAGACAGCCTCTAGTGGACACCGGAGGAACTGCAGTTTTTTTTGCACTTCCACTTTGGTTTAATTTTCCAACACCTTGAGGTTGCCTCTTGGTCCAAACCAGCCAACAGAGATCCACTGAGTCGGTCCTCCTTCAGAGGTTGTCTTGGTGATTTTTAACCTTGTATCTTTCATCGTAAACGCTAAGAAGCCCCGAGGATTAAGAACTACCAG